TACCTATCCAGAATTTTCCAGATTTCGAAACGGCATTTTGGTGAGCAAGAAATTGCGTAACTTTGCCCCAATTTAAATAAACCTGCATCTCTTATGGTTATCCAGTAGCCGATTTACAATTTCACTAGTCGACACGAGTCGAGCGTCTCGTATAGGCAGCATCAACGTTATTTCCTAGTGGCATTCTTCGACATCGAGCAATTAGAATCCGCATCCAGATCCATATACTTACTCGTGAATTTGTAAACACCCTATACAATTTTTTTTTCTACAACGTCTAGGTCTGGATTTTTAGGCCATCTGAGGTGAATTCGTTTTGGTTTTTAAGTTAAATGTTTTTAACCTCGTTTTTAACTCTCATGCACAGCAAGCACCTACCTCAATGGCAACCAAACATTTCTGAGGTTGGGTGTCAATGGTGCTGCAGGTGGATATACAAAAGTAAGCTCATCAAACAGGCTTATTGGCTTATTATTATAGGCGAAAATGAAATAAATAAAACTATTTATAGGGACCTCACATGCGACAAATGGTGGTAGATTGTGTAGCGATTGTGAGAGATTGTGTAACGATTGTGAGATATTGTGCCACGATTGTGAGAGATTGTGTGTGATTGTGTAACGATTGTGTGTGATTGTGTAACGATTGTGTGTGATTGTGTAACGATTGTGACAGATTGTTACAGATTGTGAACGATTGTGATCTGATTGTGAATGATTGTGTGAAGATTGTGAGAAATATGTACACCGACTGCAAGAGCTATTCACCCCTCGGTTTTAGCTCTGGACAAATGGTTCAATAGAGGCTTTATGGATCAGTTTGAGTGGTTAATAATAATAATACATTTTTGTCTTTTTCAGGCATAATAATACATTCATCTAACATTCCAGGTTTTTTTTTTTAATGTCCATTTTGTCTTAATACCTATTCCAGTTAGGTCATCATTGTTTTGGACATTGGAGAGCTTTTCTTGCAAACTGGTTGTCACTCTGGACATGAGACAAATGACTGGGAATGGTGGACAAGGTAAAATGACCGGCAATGGTGGACATTGGGACAAATGACTGGCAAAGGTAGACATAGCCACAACTGACTGACAATGATGGTCATGGCCATGGATCCAAACTTTTATCACTTTTCTGTGTCAGGTGTAATTACACATGTGTCAATTCCCAAAAAACAGTTCATGATCCGACTGAATCTTCAAGGCAGGGAAGCCCCAGGGGGCCTAATGCCAGAGTTGTCCTGAACTTCATTTGTTGCACTAATACACTATTTATGATAATGTAACCATGTTTGTTAAAAAAGTCTATAAACCTAGCAGTCCCAAGGTGGAAAAAAACTTCGGAGACTATATAATAATTAGGTGCTTTTTAGGTGCTAATTAGGGCCTCTAATTAAAATTTAGGTGCTCCTTTAGTTTTTGAGAAAATCAAAAAAAACTAAGGGACTGCTAGGTTTATCAAAACTAGCAATCCCCTATAGTAGAAAATTATTTTCAAATTTTTTCTTTGTATTAGATTAGGTATGTATAGAATCAGGTGCTTTCTAGGTGCTTTATAGGTGCTTCTAAATAGTCGAAGAAAAAATAGAATTGATTAAATATTAACTGAGTTATAGATTTTTTTTTTAATTATTAAGGGACTGCTGGCTTTACGTTTACTTGTTGGTGTGTCAGAATGGCAAAAAAACTTCAGGATCTATATAATAATCAAGTGCTTTTCAGGTGCTAAATAGGGCCTCTAATTAAAAATTAGGTGCTCCTCTAGTTTTTGAGAAAATCGAAAAAAAACTAAGGGGTTGCAAGGTTCATGAAAGCTAGTAGTCCCCTAATAACTAAAATCTGTAACTCAGGTAATAATTAATCAATTCTATTCTATTCGAATATTTAGGACCATCTAAAAAGCACCTAATTCTAATACAAAAGAAAAATTTGAAAAAAATATTTTTTATCATAGGGGACAGCCGAGGGGACAGCTAGCTTTCATAAATCTAGCAGTCCCTTAGTTTTTTTTTAATTTTCTCAAAAATTAGAGGAGCACCTAATTTTTAATTAAAGGACCTAATAAGCACCTAAAAACCATCTTATTATTATATAGATCCCGAAGTTTTTTTAAATTCTGACACACCTACATAAAGCCAGCAGTCCCCTTATAATTAGAAAAAAACAAACCACTGTCAGCGGCTGTCAACCGTTGTTTTCATACTCTTTTGGCGTCTGACAGTTTGACGCCAGAGAGAGAGGGTTTTGAAATTGAAAAGGTCAATTATTATATAGTTCCCGAACTTTTTTTCCACCTTGGGACTGCTAGGTTTATAGACCTTTGTTAAAATAAATAAAACTCGAATATCTTGAAAACTGTAAGAATTTATAGTAACATATAAGGTTTTTTGTCTGCAATGACCTCCTCTATCACCCCTTTCAGTTTGGATCGTGACTTATGAGACACCCTGTATATATATTTTTTTTTCAATTTCAATCTTTTTTCTAGCCACTTGTTAATTTAATTATTTGATCTAGACAGCCTTTTGGTTTAAACTTCGGTGCTACCGGTTGTGATTTTTCCTGTTTGTCTGTTTTTTTCCTTCTAGAACATACATACCTCATGCTGAACATAATCAGTGAACAAATTGCTCATTTTTGTTAATTTTTATTAGACCTAGACACATATTATTATATATATATATATATATATATATATATATATATATATATATATATATATATATATATATAGGTAACTCATTTTGAAATGGGTAACCTACCTCAAATAGTATTAAACTTGCAATGAAATGGGTGCACACACAATATTATGAATATCATTGTGCACCGAATAGTCAGTAGGAATAAGTTGTTATTATTTATTGTGAATACATATATAATAGTATTGATGATAGCTTTTTCTCAAATGAAGTACATAGTAGTGGAAAATATGGATCAGATTATTATTCCACCAGTTTCAGTTTCTAATTGTACAAAATTTTAATCAATGATTCTTCTTCTTAAATACATTATTGTTACAAAAGCTTTATGTTTCTCCTAAATAAATAATCATATTTTCAATCCCATCCCACAAATTTTTCCATCAAAAAATAAATAAAACGTTTCTCAATGTAATTTTTTGGAAATCTGAATTTTTCTACAGTGACACTGGTACACATTTTGCCTTATAACTTTGTTAAATTCGATCCGATTTTAACATAATTAGGCTGGAATTAAAGCTATTCAACAAATTTTCAATAAATAGATTCAACGCAGCTACGAAAGTTTCGCAGTTACAGGGCCTTCAAAACCTTTTGAGTTTCATTTTTAGTACTTAAAGTCAGCCACTCAGTGAGCAATTAAAAGGACATTTTTGTATTTTTCTCCTAATAAATTTCAATCCTTTTTCTATTCACTGGCAAATTTTCTATCTCATGCCACAAAGATCCCCATCAAAAAATAAGTAAAACGTTTCTCAATGTAATTTTTTGGAAATCTGAATTTTTTACAGTGACACTGGCACACATTTTGCCTCATAACTTTGTTAAATTCGATCCGATTTTAACATAATTAGGCTTGAATTAAAGCTAATTGAATCCTCTACAAATTTTCAATGAATAGATTCAACGCAGCTTTGAAAGTTTCGTAGTTACAGGGCCTTCAAAATCTTTTGAGTTTGATTTTTAGTTTTTACTAAAGTCAGCCACTCAGTCAGCAATTAAAAGGACATTTTTGGTATATTTCTCTTAAATTTCAATCCTTTTTCTATTCACTTGAAAATTTTCAATCCCATGCCAGAAAGATCCCCATCAAAAAATAAGTAAAACGTTTCTCAATGTAATTTTTTGGAAATTTGAATTTTTCTACAGTGACAATGGCACATATTAAGCCTCATAACTTTGTTAATTTCAATCCGATTTCAACGTAATTAGGCTTAAATTAAAGCTAATTGAATCCTCTACAAATCTTCAATGAGTAGTTTCAATGCAGCTTCAATAATTTCGCAGCTATAAGGCGTTGAAAGCAAGACTTTTTCCAAAATGACATCATCAGATATTTTGCCTCATAACTTTGTTAATTTCAATCCGATTGAAAAGTAATTAGGAGCAAATTAAAGCCAATTAAATCCTCTATAAGTTATTAGTTTCAATGCAGCTTTGAAGCTTTTGCAACTAACTAGCGACTACAAAACCTTTTGAGTTTTAATTTTTCGGAAATTTGAATTTTTCCACAACGATTTTGACATAATTAGGCTCAAACTAAAGCCAATTAAATTTGCTATAGGTAAACCTCTAATTATGGAGAATAAAATTTCAGAGCCTGGAATAGAAATAGGTAAGTACAAGAAAATTTATGGAAATTCCTTGGGAAATTCAATTCAAGAGCCAGGGGGGGTTTATTTGAAATGTGCAATTCAAATTCGTCTGACTAAGTCGCATTTTTTAGCATTGAAATACCGGTAAAAATTGCGACTCAGTCAGACGTATTTAAATTGCACGTTTCAAATAAACCCCCCCTGGAATAGACAAAAAAACAAAGATATTATGAGATAAAAGCAAGGAAAAAAGTAAGGTAAATGAACAAACAAAACAAATAATTTTATTAGAAGAATTTTAAGATTGCAGCTCTACACAATCACCTACCCTACAATACAATGGCTTCAAATGTAGATATAATTGATTTTTGAACATTGTTCAGTTAAAACAATGAAAAAATGATAAAAACTTCTAGTCTATAGACCGAAAAATTGTTAAGTAATTTAAGGACAATCTCTAAATCCACTTGAAAACACTAATATTGGTGTAGATTGTGAATGAACAATTCCTACTGCACTTTATTGTGATTTTCTGAACATTTTTAGAGCATGAATAATAGTTTGGTGTCGCCACAAAGTTACTCAAAACTTCAAATCGAACAGAAACCTATCAATAGAAAAACCTATTGAACTTGAAATTGTAGAAAAAGAAATAAATCTACCCTGGACAAAAGCATTTTTGCATTTTAATGAACAACTTACTAAGGAAACACACCAAATCCTGGGCAAATCCACAGGGCGTATCCAACACTAAAACACTGTAAAGTATAAACTAAAATAAAGGGCGTTTTTTGGGTCTACAGAAAAAAAAAATCGGCAGGAAATTACTCGCGAAACGACCCCCCTCGATGCGAAAATCGGACTGGAAAAAATAAAAATAAATATTGTCAAAAAATGACATCATTTGACAGCTCAGCCCAGCTGGATCTTAGGTGGCGCCATCTAACATCAACAACCGCTACCAATTACAGTTTTCTCGTTTTAAATATCTCTTTGTTTTTAGTATGTGCATTAGAAAAGGATAACATATTAAATGTTTTACTGTCACAGGCAAACGATTTTGAGGTTATAGCAGCAAAAAAATAGGGTTATGTTTCTCATTAAAAAACTGATGTAGCAAAAATGGCTAATTTCCGATCAATATATAAAATACAAGTATTTCTAACGATTCTAATACATTTAACAGTCGCCCTGTACGAAGACCAAGTGGGCAAGTTCGACTGGAAACGTTCCTTCGTTGGCAAAGTGAAATTCGTCAGTTTAGAAGCCAAAAGGATCATTGTGGCCACAGAAGAGAACGTCCTGGCCAGTCTCAACTTAAACACTGGTGATATTCAATGGAGACAAATCTTAGAAGACCCAACTGACCATCAGATACAACTTTTACAAGTAAACAATAATATTTTAACAATTTCTGGTAGCCAAAACTTGTGGCTTGTGAGAACTTGGGACATAAGCTCAGGTATGATTCTCAATGAATGGTCCATATCAAATGAGCAAACAGTGCCTAGTTTATTTACAATATCTAATGAAAAACTCTACCATGTATTACCAATCACTGGATCACATATTGAAGTTGCACTTTATCCTGTCGAAGCAGGGACAAACACTAAAAATCTACCAAAGAAAATTCCAACTCCTTGGCTAAAAGATGTCAATGATTGTATTACAACAAACTCATATTTTGTTTGCCTTGCCAACAACCAACTAAACTATATAAATCTTGCACAAGAAAATGCAAATTTTATATCAAAACCTTTAGAAAACAATCCTATATTGATTCCATTCAACAATAAAATCCCTTCAGTTTTGCTCCTTGAAAACAACATAGCCAAACTAGCTTTATTCAATAATAACGACATAGAAATTAAGCCTTATAGTTTAATGCCCAATGCTATAAGCATCAACAAAGAAGTAATTTACCAACTGGAAGCAAACAACAACAAAGACAAATTAATTAAAGTAAAATCTAAGGATTTTCAAACAGGGCAAGATTTACTCTCAATTGATTTAAACTATCCAATTGGAATAGGTGCTCCTATAATATTAGGAGCCCAAAATAGAGATTTATTATTAAGCACCACAGATAATGCTCTGCTATTAGTCAGACTACCTGAAGGCAAAATCCTATGGACAAGAGAAGAAGCCTTAAGCAGCATCGTTGCAACTGAATTCTTTGAATTACCTGTCTCAGACTTAGATGCTTCAATTGAGCACGAATTCGACAGCAATGGCGATATAATAAGCATGTTCCTGAACAGAATAAGCACCCAATTCCAGCAACTCTATAATGCCTTGTACAACAACCAAATATTAGCCAATAAAGGCTTAATTAGAGACGAATTTGGCCTACACAAAATCATTGTAGTGGCAACTAGGGCTGGTAAACTATTCGCCATAGACACAATTAGTGGCTCAATAGCTTGGAGCTACAGACTACCAAATATACAACCATTTTTAGGCATTAATAATGAAGAAAAAATGTTTTTGCTACCCCAAAGAAGTGCCCAATATGCCCCTTTAGCAGCTCAATGCGTTTTATTGGCTCAAGATTCAATTACACAAAACGGAATCTACTTTCAATTTGATCCTATTACTGGCTATTCAACGCAAGGCATTCAACACTTGAACTATAAAATAGCTCAAGCTATTCTATTGCCCCAACAGGATAAAAACTTTTTAAAACCTATACTGACAATAACTGATAATAATGAGGCCCATATTTATCCTAAATCTTCAATTAAAGCAAATACTTTTTTGTATCTTGTTGACCATAAAGCTGCTATTTTAAATGGATACAGTCTCAAATATAACAATGAAAATGAATTATTAGTAACTCCAACTTGGGAAGTCAACTTAGGCCCATCTAAACTAATTGAGGTCAGTGCAAAGCCTGTAAATGAAATAGTCCACTCACAAGGCAAAGTCCTACACGACCGCTCAGTGTATTATAAGTATGTCAATCCAAACTTATTAGCCGTAACTACAATAACCCCAGACCAAATCCACCATAGTGTTGTAAATATTTACCTAATAGACGGAGTGACTGGTTTAGTTTTGCATTCAACATCCCACAAGCGCGCCAAAGGCCCAGTCCACCTAGTCCACTCAGAAAACTGGCTAGTCTACACCTACTTCAACGAAAGATTCAGAAGACAAGAAATCTCAGCCATTGAATTATATGAGGGCCACTTGCAAAGCAACAGCACGGTGTTCAGTTCTTTTGCAGTCAGTCAGCTACCGGATGTGCAAAGTCAGAGTTACATCTTGCCAGGGGTGCCTGTTAAAATGGCTGTGACTCAAACCGAAAGGGGCATAACAAATAAATTTCTATTAATGGCTTTGACTAATGGGGCTGTAATTGAAATTCCTTGGATGCTGCTGCAGCCACGGTTTCCTGGAAATCCTTGCGGGCCTGAAGAGAGTTGCATACCGTATATGCCAGAGATTCCACTGTATCCAGAGGCTGTTATTAATTATAATCAGACATTAGGCAGGGTGAAGGGGATTGTTTTGGCTCCAGCACGCTTGGAGTCTACTAGCCATGTGCTGGTTCACGGGCTTGATATTTTTTATACAAGAGTGGCACCTTCTAAGACGTTCGATGTGCTTAAGGACGATTTCGATTATCGCCTGATTGTTTTGGTGCTTTCTGGTTTGATTTTGGCTACGTTTGTTACTAAGCATTTGGCTGCGCGGAAAGCATTGAAACAAGCATGGAAATAGAGTGAATTTAAAGAACACTAGATAATTTTGTTGTTGATTGTTTTAAAGTATTTTTTTTTTGTTTTATTGTATTTAAATGAAGGACAATTTTTATTGTGGTTTCGCTGCTTCAAGAAACTTTTTACACAATTTTTTCACTTTATACTTTGGCAATTGTTCCTTTATTGCCTCAATATTTAAATGTAAATAGTGTTCACTATTTAGTCAAATTTGAGTTCACAAGTCACTAAAAATTCAAAAAGGGCCATTTTAGCCTTAGGATTATTATTAAGAATAATTGTTTAGGGTTAAATTTAATATTAGTTGGACATTTTCTTTTTTTTTAATTAAATTAAATTGTAAAGGTAATTTTTGGATTGATTAATTAATGTGGTGACTGAATTTGAATTAAATAAAGAAAATAAATAGTATTGTAATTTATTGTTATGAATTGTGATTGTACAAAAAATAAATAAAGAGAATTTGAAAGTTGTAGTCAATATTGGTTTAAAACTCAGTTCCACTTATTTTCTTTTTTTCTATTTCTAGTATTTCTCAATTTTTCCACAAACATGAAATTACCCTTGTTGTCTCAATTTTTCTAAATTATTTCTTTTGTATTTAATTTTCAATTTTTTTGTCTTTTGCTGGTTCTTGGAGCCTTTTTTTTGTGAGCGAAAATAAATCAAACAAAACGGGACCTTGAGCTCAGAAGCAACGTTAGGAATTTTCTTTCAATTTGATGCTTGAAAAAAAACTAAATAATTTGCGAAAAATAGCTTTAGCCATCACAGCAACTTCAAACTTACAGGATTTATAAAATAGAGACTCTTTTCTTTTATAAGGGAAAGTAAATTAGAATGGCTCTTGTGCTCATAAGCAAGTTAGACATATTTACAGCCCAATATAAAGCTGTAAACTGAAGAAAAATTGAGATTTAAATAGAGCAGAAATGTAGAAAAATTGAGAAAAAATGGTAAAATGAATGATAATTCATGCTTTTTCTATTCCAGGCGCTTGAATTTTTCTTTATTTCGGCAAATTCAAGAAATTGAGCTTGAAAATTTGAGAAATAGAGAGAAAAAATTCAAGAGAAATCGAGAAAAATTTGGTACACAAAGAGACACAGAATATTTTCTTTATATTCCAAGCTTTTGTATTTTTTTTATTAAGACAGATTAGGAAGAAAACAAAAATTCAAGAGCCGGGAATAGACAAAAATTGAGTATTGAATAGAGAAGAAATGTAGAAAAATTGAGAAAAATATTGTAGATAAGAGGACGTTCATGTTTCATGGATGCCACGTTTTTTCTCATTACTAGAGATACAGATTTTTAGAAAAATTTGGCAACATTTAGGTTCATTGAACTAGGTAATGCTTGAATTTTTCTTTATTTCGGCAATATCAAGAGCCAGGAATAGACGAAAATTTGAGAAATAGAGAGAAAAAATTCAAGAGAAATCGAGAAAAATTTGGTACACAAATAGACACAGAATATTTTCTTTATATTCCAAGCTTTTGTATTTTTTTTATTAAGACAGATTAGGAAGAAAACAAAAATTCAAGAGCCGGGAATAGACAAAAATTGAAAATTGAATAGAGAAGAAATGTAGAAAAATATTGTAGATAAGAGGACGTTCATGTTTCATGGATGCCACGTTTTTTCTCATTACTTAAGATACAGATTTTTAGAAAAATTTGGAAACATTTAGGTTCATTGTACTAGGTAACGCTCGAATTTTTCTTTATTTCGGCAATATCAAGAGCCAGGAATAGACGAAAGTTGAGCTTGAAAATTTGAGAAATAGAGAGAAAAAATTCAAGAGAAATCGAGAAAAATTTGGTACACAAATAGTCAATAGACACAGAATATTTTCTTTATATTCCAAGCTCTTGTATTTTTTTTAAATTAAGACAGATTAAGAAGAAAACAAAAATTCAAGAGTCGGGAATAGATAAAAATTGAGAATTGAATAGAAAAGAAATGTAGAAAAATTGAGAAAAATATTGTAGATAAGAGGACGTTCATGTTTCATGGATACCACGTTTTTTCTCATTACTAGAGATACAGATTTTTAGAAAAATTTGGCAACATTTAAGTTCATTGTACTAGGTAACGCTTGAATTTTTCTTTATTTCGGCAATTTCAAGAGCCAGGAATAGACGAAAATTGAGCTTGAAAATTTGAGAAATAGAGAGAAAAAATTCAAGAGAAATCGAGAAAAATTTGGTACACAAATAGACACAGAATATTTTCTTTATATTCCAAGCTCTTGTATTTTTTTTTAATTAAGACAGATTAAGAAGAAAACAAAAATTCAAGAGTCGGGAAAAGACAAAAATTGAGAATTTGAATAGAGAAGAAATGTAGAAAAATTGAGAAAAATATTGTAGATAAGAGACCGTTCATGTTTCATGGATGCCACGTTTTTTCTCATTATTAGAGATACAGATTTTTAGAAAAATTTGGCAACATTTAGGTTCATTGTACTAGATAACAAGATTTCACCGATTATACCTATCCTTTATTTTTTTTTATAGCGTGGTAAAGGACGCAAATAGGTTCTAGTATACATATAATCCGACAGGTGCGACATACTGTTGTGAACGCTTTTTCAACAATGATAGACAAACACAATACATGTTTAGCTAGACAAAGATAGATACCTAAATCGATTCACGTTAGACACGAGATAAAATTGAATTTAAAAAAATGTACTCAAGTTTCCGCTTCTGATATATCTGACGTCAGACGTTACAGTACTAGCGTTTTCGCCGCAGTTCAACTGCTTGAAATACAAAATTCCGTCCTGTTTCATCTCACTATTATGAATTAGAACCATTAGGTCTGTTTCTGCAAGAGTTACAAAACAGTCAGAGCGAATTTCATTGGTTGAAAACTCAGAAACAGTCAGAAAACTAGTTTCCAACTAATCAAATTCGCTCTGACGGGTTTGGTTTAATTGTGGTTTGTGGTTTCTGCAGAAACAGGCTTACCTATTAATAATTAATGTATAATAATATTAAGTGAGTGTTTTTGTGAGTCTATGTCGGACAATTAAATGTACATTTATCTTCACAAAAATACTCAAATACACGTGTTCCTCCAATAAAAAACTCAAAAATAATGTTTGAGATAAAATTAGGTACCTATTAACATCCTGGCACATTCCCACATTCTGGATAAGGATGAAGGAAATTAAAACAATTAAATATCAGCAATTTTTTCTATGATTGTTTCCATCAGTCAAAACTCAAAATTTGAATTACATATGGGACTCGTAAGCAAAATGCCTACTTAGGAAAAAGTTTATTTAGAATTTCAGTTAACTTTTGAGGTTATATGGTTCAATAACTTAACATTGGTGGGTGCCTTAAAACCTATTTCCGTTCCTCAATGTACTTCTGCAATCCCTCCTCAATAACTTCTTTAGTAACGCCGTTTTTAACTAAAACCGAAACCACTCCCAGCCTGTTAATGTCATAAATGTTGCGACTCTCGTCGTCAAAGAATAGCATTTCGTCAAAGTGCCTGTTTGACTGCTTTTTTATACTAAAAAAAGATTCATAGATGTGTCTTTATTAAAGCTACATTAACTTACTTATTAAAATGAGTTACTTTGCTTCCCGGAAATATTTCCTTGTAAGTGAAATAACTTGCCCACCCAAAAAGTTCAATAAGTTGCTGCGCCCCTTTAATTTCCGACGTTCTAGACGCTACCCCTATTTCATAGCCTTCCTCTTTTAAGTTTTTTAAGACTTCTGGTACTTCAGGGTAACATTTGATTTTGGAATTGTATGTATCTACTATGTCATTGTTTATCCTATGGGAAAAGGAAATCATTGAAAACGCATTACATGTTTATTAATACAGACTTTTTAAAGGGTGGAGTAACATGGGTATCTACCCAAAAGGGCCAAAGGGTGTAGTCTGCAATGAAAATAAAATAAGGGAGGTTATTGAAAAAAATTTAATTGCAAACAAATACATACCTAAATCAAAGACAATTATTTTTAAATTTTCAGGTTTCATGGTTCTATATAAAAACTTGTATATAATCGAAGACAAAATAAATCCCTTACTTTTTAGAGCAAAATCAAAACTCATGTGGGTGGCCTTTGTGGGTGTTGTGTTAAATGTTAAAGGTTAACTTAAAACAAGGTCTATTTGAAGGAGGCTTTTTTCTAAGTGACGTCATCAGTGTAAACACTCAATTTATACAATTTGAAAAAACTAAATTACAATAATAATTATCCCACCATTGTTCTTTTTCTCCCTCTAGCTCGTACTTCTTCGTATTTGCCAAAAATCTCCTTAAATCCGTTTTTGTAATGCCGTTTATAGCCTTCTATGATTTTAGGAAATAGCTTTTCGGCAACTAAATGAGTACTTAGTAATGCCCGCTCTAAAACGTACAAATCTACCCCCTTGTCCTCAGCACTGGGGTCAATGTGAGCCAGGCCAAAGTCTATCAAAACCACATTGAGCTCTGTTAAATCTTCAAAGATGTTTTGATGATTTTTATTTACTAGGAGTATATTGGACGATGTGAGATCTCCATGTATGATGCTGCCTTCGTGCATTTTGGCCAAAATAACTCCTATTTTAAGCCCAAGCTCTAAAAGAGTCTCCAATGGGGCTTGCTCAATGTAATCCTTCAGCACTATACTATGGATAAAATGTTCCATAAAAATCATTCGCCGGTCAAAGTCTACCAAAAACAGCATCGGGGTCGGAATTCCGACGGTTTTGCATCGTAGAATGGCCCTGGATTCCGATTTGATGCGTTCTTTTGTGAGGAAATCGTCCAAGTGTTTGCACCGGTAATTTTTGACGAATCTTTCTTTGATTATTGCGGGTTTTCCCAGGTAGGTGCCTTGGTAAAGCCTGGCTTCGGCGCCTTGTTTAAACAATACGAAACCCTCCATGGATTTGAAATAATTTAAAAAATTATTTATATTTATAACCTCACTTTTTTTGTTTACAAAATACAAAATCGATTATACTGATCCAAGTTTTGAAAAGTTCACTTGCTATCTTTTTCCAATATACATAATTAAAAAGAAATTGAAATTACATTAGCAGATTAAAATTTGGCAACACTGTAAGCGTATTTTTGTTGACGTCATTTTAAAGGCCTTTTTGACAAACAAAAATGGCGACGCATTTGTACCTCTGTAAGACAATTTTGTAATTTTTTTGATTTTTCCATAGGAAATACATAAAATTAAGTCATTATTTGAGTTCGAATTTGTGCAGTTTAAGTGGAACTTTAATTAGTGAAATTTTTCTAGCTCAAAGCTAGTTTTTTGAGCTTTTTTCAAGGCATCAGATAATTAAGGTAGGTATCTACTACTACCACCATTGAAGATTCTCATTTAAAATATTTACTACAGTTATATCTTAAGGAAATCACATCCTAAATATAAATTTCCAGCCAATACAATAATTATTATTAACACATCCCTAGCCCATACAGTATTTTTTCTACTACTGTGCGTACTTTATACTCGTAAAGCCACAAATAAGTATTCTAGAGAAGCTTGATTATTTTAGAGCTACAGATGAATCTAGAGAGCTCATTTATTTCAGAAAAAGTGTGAAAACTTCATTTCCAGCTTTTGAATTTAAAGGTTTTGATGGCTCTCCTAAAGCCACAAATAAGTACCTACCTACATATATAGAAGAAGCTCAAAAAAGTCTGATTATTGCAGAGCTACAGGTTGATCTAGAGCAGGGATCGACTGATACCGATATGGTATATCGGCATATCGGCCTTTTTCAGGTATATCGGCATATCGGCCCTTCAGTGGCCGATAACTTTAGACCAATACAAATCATATTTTAAAAGATTAGTAATCATCACACAGGCTTTTTTGAAGCTTAAAAGAGCCAATATTTGTGGTTCGTACATATGGGAGTGACTAAGAAGAAAGTAAATATAAGAAATTGTTTTTCATAAAATTTTAAATCAATTAGGTATTTATACAGGTTGTCCCAGGACGTTTTTCCCAGGTAATAACTTCAGAAAGCGTCATCCAATATAATTGAAATTTTGAGGATCTGAGTAACTTTTTGTGCCGCTTCTACCAATGTCATCCAATTTCACCACTTTCGCTTCAATTTTGGTCAAGTGACATAAACTTTTGAATCTTAAATGTAACCCATGGTATATTATGGTATTTTTTGTTAGAAAATTAAATTATAAAATCGGCAATGCCATATTTGTAAAGGCTTTGTTAAAGAAAATGATAAAAAATTATACAGTGGAACATACGAGGATGCATTCTGAAGTTATCATTTAAGAAAAACCTCGTGGAACACCCTGTATAAAAAAAAGCTTAACATTCTGCGTATCTAAACTCAAATTCAAAATTATTTATTTATTTTAAAAAAAAAAACACTAAATTTTCTGCTTATCTGAACTCGAACAAACTGCCGATGCAATATATCGGCCTTATATCGGTATCGGCCTTCTAAAAAGCCATATCGTATCGGTATCAGCAATATCGGTTTAAAAAAAAAAACATATCGGTCGATCCCTGATCTAGAGAGCTCCTTTTTATTTTCTATGGAGCGAAATTCAATTGAAAAAGAGTGTAAACTTCATTTCCAGCTTTTGAACTTGACAGTTTTGACCATTCCAGGATAAAATCTGAAGTTGATTCATCTGGAATAGAATTGAAGTCTTATTCCTGGCTCAACTAAACTCAAAAATATACCAGTATGATTATTTTAGAGCTACAGGTTGATCTAGAGGGCTCTTTTTAACACGTTCGCTGCCAGAGAGATTTCGGTTGATCGGGTCCAAAATGCCAATGTTGAAAAACTATATTTTATCATCGAAATAGGTATAAATAACATAAAATATTCATCCAAAGTAGTACCTGACCCATATTTTTGCAAAAAAAATACCATACCATACCATACCATACCAAGGACTACCATTTTTGAAAAAAAAAAAATTTTTTGTTCAACTATGTCTGTGTGATATTCTTATACATGTCCCGTAGGCCAGGCACCCCCATTAACTTGTATTTACAACGAATATACTCGTACTTGACTTTGAACGACACGATGCAAAATACGAGTCATCTCGTAGCTGGCACCTGTAGTAAGATTGTCTACTACGAGTTAACTCGTACTTGGCAGCGAACGTGTTAATCTTCTCTGGAGCAAAATTCAATTGAAAAAGTGTGAAAACTCCATTTCCAACTTTTGAATTTAAAAGTTTTGACTATTCCAGGATAAGAGTTGAAGTGAGTTCAACTGGAATAGCATTAAAATCTTTTTCCTAATTCTCCTAAAAGCCAAAAATATACCAGAGAAGTTTAAAAAAATTCTGATCATTTCAGAGCTACAGGTTGATCTAGAAAGCTCCTTTTTATTCTATGGAGCGAAAATCAATTGAGAAAGTATGAAAACTTAATTTCCAGCTTTTTAATTTGATAGTTTTGACCATTGCAGGTTAAAAGCTAAAGGTAATTAAACTGGAATAAAATTGAAATCTTATTCCTGGCTCTCCTGAAACCAAAAATATGCCAGAGAAGTTCAAAAAAAGTTTGATTATTTTAGAGCTACAGGGAGATTTAGAGAGCTCCTTTTTATCTTCTATGGAGCGAATTTCAATTAAAAAAGTGTGAAAACTTCATTTTCAGCTTTTGGATTTGAAGGTTTTGACCATTCCAGAAAACTGAAGGTAAGTAATTCAACTGGGATAGAATTAAAATCTTATTCCAGGTTCTCCTAAAGCCAAAAATATAGGTACCAGAAAAGTTCAAAAAATTCTGACTGTTTTAGAGCTACACGTGGATCTAGAGAGCTCCTTTTTATCTTCTATGGAGCGAAACTCAATTGAAAAAGTGTGAAAACTTCATTTCTAGCTTTTGACCATTCCAGAGTAAAAGCTAAAGTTGATTCATCTGGAATTGAATTGAAATTTTATCACTGGCTCTCCTAAAGCCCAAAATATCCCAGAGAAGTTCAAGAAAGTCTGATTATTTTGGAACTGCAGGTTAATCTAGAGCTCATTTTTATCTTCTCTAGAGCAAAATTCAATTGAAAAAGGGTGGAAGCTTCATTTCCAGCGCTTGAAATTTATTAACTGAAGTTTCCTCTTTATGGAAAAGTTGATTTGAGGTTGATTTGAAGCTTCAAACTATCTTTGGAAGCTTTTTTTTATGTTAATGCATGTGAAAATGATTGAAATCTGCAAAAATCATTTGTGCAAAATACTTCCAATGATCACAGTCATTTGAAACCTTGAGGATTTATGAATTGAAGTTTCCTCTTTGTGGAAAAGTTAATTTTAAGCTGATTTGAAGTTTCTAGAGATGGCCCTGAGAATATTTTCCAAAGAACTTCTATTGAGAACAGAGAATTTACCGAGAATATTCTTTGGCTTTAAATTCTCGAGAATTTATGATTTTTTTAGGTTCAAGAATTTATGAGATTATACGGTAATTTTCGAGAATTTATGGGAAGTTAGCTGTAATTTTTGAATTTATCAGTTCATTGTAAAAAACGAAAAGCAGAGCCGGAGTCTCATGCATCCATCATCCGTTTTCCGAGGTTTGATATCCGAAAAACCTTCTATTGTGACATATCAAATTTTTGTGCATGATTTCTACCAACCGGAAACGCCAAAAGTTATTACAGTAATGTGCAGAGTGTGTGTAAAGAAATATTTAATTTAATATTAGTTTTGAGGAAATTCCTTCGAAAATTAAACCTAGAGGGTTGATATGAAAATATTTCAGACAAAATAGGGATAACAAATTTCAATGTAAATTTTCTGATTTTGTGTATCAAAAAAATGCGAAAAGCCCCAAATGCCCAAATTAAGAAGCTATATTCTTTGAAATTCCCTAAAATTCTCCAAAATTCTCCAATGTTCCCGAATATTCTCCTAGAAAATTCTCTCAAAATAAATTCTAGAGAATTTGCCATCTCTAGAAGCTTCAATTCGAACTAAATTTGAAAGTTTTTTCTTATGTTAATGCATGCAAAAATGATTAAAATCTGCAAAAATCACTTGTGAAAGATACTTCCAATGATCACAGTGACTTGAAACTTTCAGGAATTATAAATTAAAGTTTTTTCTTTGTGGAAAAGTGAATGTGAAGTTGATTTGAAGTTTTAAACTAAATTTAAAAGCTTTTTCTCACATTAATGCATGCAAAAAAGTTAATTCAATTGGAATGGAATTAACGTCTTATTCCCGGCTCTCCTAATACTAAAAATATACAAGAGAAATTCGAAAAAGTGTGATTAATTTAGAGCTACAGGTGGATCTAGAGGGCTTATTCTGGTCTTCTATGGACCGAAATTCAATTGAAAAAGTGTGAAAACTGCATTGCCATCTTTTGAATTTGAAGGGGAAAAGCTGAAGTTAATTCAACTGGAAGTTTTCCTTAATTTTCTCTCCTCTATTTCTTTTTTCTTTAGTGTCAACTTTTAACAATTTTAATTTTAGGCCCTTCAATTTCTGTTTATAAAAGAATAAGGAACATTCTCAAAAGCCTGGCATAGAAGACAAATCAATTATTCTAAAAATTTTGTTTTCTTTAGTCTCAACTTTCAACTATTTTAGACTCTTGAATTTCTTTTTTCTCCCAAATGAAATAAAGAAACATTCAAGAGCCTGGAATTATTTTTCTTACTAATAACTGAGTATATTTTAACTATAGAACTTCACATCATAATGGAAGCCCAAGAAGACAACTCGATTACAGTAGTAATGGAGCCCTATTCCGATGCCAATTTAAACGAAAAAGAATTGAGTACCCAATATATCTACACTACCGAAGGCGAGCTTATACCCGCAGTAGAAGATTTAAATGCCCAGGTAACAAAACAACACAATCATGCCTAAATAATTTCATTCATTTCTTATACACCCTATATTTTTTTTTGTTTTTTTTTCCTTTTTTTTTTTCATATTAATTTTAGCACTTTAATACACAAAGTCTACACATTGAATATCAGTACGAACAACAGGAAATAGTACCCGAGTCAATAATTCAAGCCGTAAGTTCTTTTGTAGAGCATGCAATTTGCCTGAGTTTTGTTTTTGCTCCAATAATAATTTCACGAAGACTTTAATTTTTGCATGCAATTTAATGATTTTTTATTTGAAGCAGGCGGACGACTTTGTACTGCAAGAGGCTCAAACTTCCTCAACTGAAACTGGGCAAGTGATTGTTGAGGAATTGGCTGGTGATGAGAAAGCAACAGAGGTAAAATATTTTGTGATTTTGTTGTATTTCATTGCAACAGTTGTTCTCTGAGCATCTGAGCAAATTTCAGTTTGGAGGATTTTTTATTCAGAAATTTCAGTTTCACATTATTGTAAAAACATTACTGGTATATGAGATATAAGATATATGAGAAATAAATTCATTTTCTGGAAGAAGTTTCTTTTAGAAAATACAGTTCTAAAAGGTGTTTGACTATTGAGTGATTTTTGAGTTTCCATATTTGCAGATAAATACTTATTAAAGTTAACTTTAGGCTAAATCCTCTGCTGAAGAAATCACAGAAAATGTCACTCAGGAAAATACAGACTCTGGAAACGAGCTGATTATAGAAGAGCAGCTGGAAAATAATGAAGATCCAAAAATCAAAGAAGGTAATTATTGTCAACCGTTTACTAATAAGGCTACTTAATTAATTCCAATATAGCTTCATCAGGTCTTAATAACATCGAAATTGTTTTCGAAAATGAACCTACTACTACTGAGTCCCTTGAAGCCATTGAGGGAGAGCTTCGTGCTCCGAAACAAACAGTAGAAGTAGCAGAAGTTGTAGATGGATCAAAAGAAGAATCTTTGGTAATTGCAGAAGAAACTGCCACCCAAGTTGCTGTAAAAGTTGTAAGTAATACCAATAATAATAATAAAATAAATAATTATCAAACAACTCAATAGGAAAAACAGGTAAAACCAAAAGGCCGCAAAACAACGCCCATAGTCCCTCTACACATAATGGGTCACGACGTGGACAATCACAGCAGCAACGTTGTAAATGGCAAATCGCCTAAACCTAGGCCCGGGGTCAAAGTACCATACAGAAACCTCACAAGCCAAATAGTTTCAAAGGAGGAACTTGAAAACGTGATTATTGAAAGGGGCAGGAAAAAGCAAGAGGAAAGGCAAGAGCAAAAGTTTTCACGCAAACTCACTTCGAATCTTGCTTCAAAAATTGGCCCAGAATCTACTCCAAAAAAGACCAAAGCTAAAGTAACTTATTGATTGATTATTTTTTTGGAATTTATTCTTGTGGTTTTTAGGATACAAATGGCAACCAAAAAATCGACAATGACATGGACTTATTAGCCATTTTAGAAGGTGAGGGCGACGCCGCAGAAGAAATGCCCGAGTTCAGCGGCAAGGCTAACAAGGAAACCACCCCCACTGACGAGACGAATTTGAAAAACTTAGAGAGAGAAATCGCCTTGCAACAGTTGCACGATTTGCCTAACTTGGTACCCACCCCGAAAACTAGATTTTTAAAAACCCACAAGTTTAAGCAACCGACAACAAGCGCTACTACTACTACTTCGATTAATTTGCCTGTGAAAAGCCCTATCAAAAGCAATCAGGCACATGTTAAGGTAAAATAATTAGGCCCAATTTATTCATGTTCTGGTAACTGTCTACAAGTTAAATTCAGTAATTTATAATCTTATTGGTTGACAAATAACTGGGCTGAGACTTGTATAACAAATAGAGATGTTTTCACTATCTATATTATAAATTGCGTTTTTATCTGACAGTTTATCAGAAAGTGAATAAATTCGTGCTTAGTCTGATTAAATTGTAATACATGTATATCTTTTTCAATAGGTTAATACAGCCCTTAAAACTTACTCAAGAAAAAGGAAGTCATCTGACGCAGAAACTACTTTGTCCCCCAAGAAAACCATTGTTAGTAGCTCTGCAGAAAGTGAAGAAGAAGAATTTCCTATTAAATCCCCTGTTGCCACCTACGTCACTAAAAGCTCAAGAGTGATTAAGAAAAAGGTTATTTGGGATCCAGACGAGACTCCAATCAAAATCAAACCTTCACCCAAGCCCGAAACAAAAACGCCCACTTTGAAAACCTATTCCAAAGAACAAAAAATCGCTCATCCAAAAAACGAGAGTAAGTCAGCTGATTTGCCAAAAAAGTCAGCTGACAAGTTGGCTGTTGTTGAAAAGAAGCCTACTCCAAAGAAAATTGTCCAGGAAAAACGTGCCAGTCCAAAATTGGCAACGCCCAAACCAAAAAAATCCAGAAGTGAAGTCGACAAATTACTGGGTGATGAAGGAGCCATCAAAATGCTGTACGAATTGCAAAATTCCGACACGAAACCTTTGTCAGCCAAAAAGACTTTCAAAGATGTACGCAAAAAGTTTGGCCAAATCAAACTTGAAGTAGTTAATTCCACAATGGAAAAAACAAAAAATTTACGCAAAAAAGAAACTGTTTCGCCTCAGAAACCATCCCCAGGCGGAATAAGCAGGCAAAAGTCAAAGGACTCGGGCAGGAGCACACCCCCAATGTCTCCAACCTTCAGCTACTCCAATGAGACTTCATATTTGATCAGGAGAAGGTCTAGCGATTCGATTTGGAGCTCAGACGATCTTGAGTTGGATGATACAGAAGGTGATTATTGTAATTTAATTATTTTTGCTATAATGCTGTTTTTTTTTTGTGCAAAGATTCTTCTGAATCTGAATGGGATGAGTCGGATTATGTTGGTAAGAGGTTTTTGAAACATTATGCTATCATGTTTGTAATCAAAGTTAATGATTTTTATTGGACACTTTCAGAGAGGCTGTCAAAAAAGAAACCCGTGGCCACAATCAAGGACCCCTTGGAAATAAAAAAACCAATAAAACAAGAAAAATCCCAAAAAAGGGCTGAAAGCAAATTGGGCATTTACAACAACATAACTCTTAAAAAGACTAACGGATCTCTTACAATAACTCTTTACAAGGACGATGATAAAACTTATTTTACTTTAGAGGTAATTTGCATTTATTCCCCAATGTAAAATTTTGCAAAATTATATTTTAGCTATTAAAAGAACTAACAGCAGCCTTGATAAAAATATCAAACGCCAAAGACTACAACGTCGTTTTGATAAAATCCAGCAATCCAGCAATATTCAGCAAAGGCCTGGACTACACCGAACTAATATCGAAAAAACCCAAAGCCATCCAGCAAGCAGCTGCACAAGTGCAAAGTTTCCTACAATGCCTGTTAGATTTTCCCAAAATCCTTATAGCTGGAATCCAAGGCGAGTGCGTAGGTCTAGCAGTCACAATGCTGCCTTTATTTGACATAGTTATTGCCAGTGACGAGGCTATATTCAGTTTGCCCCATTGTAAATTGGGCTGCCCTGCCGAAGGCGGGTTTTTGTTAGGGGTGCCTTACATGGCCACCAACGGATTGGTAAGTGTTTCAATTTTTTGTAAGGATTGAGTAATGTTTGGGTGATTTTTAGGTGGGCGACTTGCTGTATGCTTCACAAAAATTGACTGCTGATGAGGTGTACAGGAGAGGGCTGATTTCAAAGCTGTGCTGGCCTGAAAAGTATCAGGATACTATCAAGAGTACGGTGAATGCAATTGGGCAAGGTTCAAGACAGGTAAGGCATTGTGAATTTTGGAGGGGGATTATTGTAGAGAATTCTTTAAAAGTCCTAGTTTAATATACAGGGTGTAGTGCAAAAATCCAACAATTATTATTATGTTTCAGGGATTGGAAGCCAACAAAAGCCAAGTACGTAATGCTATCAGAGTCGATTGCCAAGAAGGACTGGATTCCCTATCAGAAGAGCTCATAGAGCTTTGGAACAGCAAAGAATGCCAGAGCAGTTTTGCCAAGATCGAATAAAAATTCAAAGTTTCAAAAAGGAAAATATTTTTTTACACGATAGGAAAATTGCATGAATGATAAGTTTAGGAGAATGTTTTTTTTTTGTTTTCTATATTTATAAGGGAAGTCAACACTATAATGTTGTAGTAATAATTTTAGTTTCACATTCAATGGGTAGTTTTTACTTTACAGCCTGTGCAATGTTTAAATTGAATTGTGAAGATACTTTTTTGGGCCACTGTGTATCATATACATACTGAAGCCCTTTTAAAAATTATTTTGTATTGGACTTTATATTATAATTTTGTTTGTTGTACTTTTTTTGTATCTAATGACTTTCTTAGTTTTGTTAATTTTTTTTGACTTCTTATGCTTTGTCCTTTATAATATATTTATCCATAGTTTTTATATATTGATTATATTAGAGTTTTTTTGTTTGTTTTAACTTTGTACCTATACTATATATATTATGTAACTGTTTCTGTTCCATTTGTTTCTGATCCTTTTTTTTTTTGGTTTTTTTTTTTTTATTGGAACGGAAAACGCACTACTTGAAGAATTCTATTAAATGTCTTGAATAAATAGTAAAAAAGTTGTTTTATTTCAATTAAATTATAACTATTAGCCAAGACAAATGTAAATAATAAGTAAAATTCAATTTGTTTACTCAAACTAATTGAATATAAATTCAACAAAGAGACGAGATATTTAAAACACCCTGTCATTATTCTAATGACTAAAATTAAAGACAATCATATTCCTCTTGTTAACTCACCAGGAGCCAAATAAATACAGAGTTAAAATACATTTTGCTCCTCAGTCAAAAAGCGCAGGTTTGTCCGTGTTCCAGAAGAGATTCTTTTTCGGCCTCTCTGGAGCGAATTCGCAACATCATCCAGTGGCCGTTAGAGCCTCCAACAGTGCACAACCAACTAGAAGAACTTATGTATTAAGTAGATAAAAATGCCGCCACCAATTTAAAATAGAAAAGGTAATTTTTCTTTTAAATATTAGGAACTTTTTTTATATTTTTTTTACGATTGCTAGGCATCAACATAATGATTTTGAAAACTTACAAAAGTAAAATTATCAGTCTTCCTATTCTACTTCTAGTTGAAAATGTCTGAAATTTAAATTAAACAAATTGTAAAGTGTCAAATTTGAGCCTCAATATCTCTAAAACTATTTGAGCTATAGAATTAAATCTTACTTCATCTTAAAGAGCATTCACTTCTGATTATAAAAGTATTATTTTGTATTGAAATTTGTAAAATATTAACAAAGTTACAAGCGATTTTGTGAGTCAATGTCAAAAATCAAAACCTTTTCGAGACCCAAAAATGCACAATCAAACTTTAATTTTTCACAGGCCCTAAAACCTCGAAAAAACAAATTGCAAAAACGGTTTTCCACTAATTTTGACCGCCTCTTTCGATTGGCAAAGTCAAAAATGCGAAAAACATAAAATTTTAAAATTGGAATTTTTTGGAAATTTGATTTTCAAATATTTCAGAGAGTCATATTTCTGAAACCGCAAAAGCTATTGGCATGAAATTTGTCCCAACTTGTAGCTCTCAATTAGGGTTACAAAAAAGGTTATTTAAGACTCCGAGCCCAAAGGCTTCGTTTTCGAGAAAATAGGCTCTTAAGCTTTAACAAAATTTAAGACAAAGTTCTAACTTTGAGCCTCAATATTTTTAAAACTATTTGAGCTATAGAATTAAATCTTACTTCATCTTAAAGAGCATTCACTTCTGATTATAAAAGTATTATTTTGTATTGAAATTTGTAAAATATTAACAAAGTTACAAGCGATTTTGTGAGTCAATGCCAAAAATCAAAACCTTTTCGAGACCCAAAAATGCACAATCAAACTTTAATTTTTCACAGGCCCTAAAACCTCGAAAAAACAAATTGCAAAAACGGTTTTCCACTAATTTTGACCGCCTCTTTCGATTGGCAAAGTCAAAAATGCGAAAAACATAAAATTTTAAAATTGGAATTTTTTGGAAATTTGATTTTCAAATATTTCAGAGAGTCATATTTCTGAAACCGCAAAAGCTATTGGCATGAAATTTGTCCCAACTTGTAGCTCTCAATTAGGGTTACAAAAAAGGTTATTTAAGACTCCGAGCCCAAAGGCTTCGTTTTCGAGAAAATAGGCTCTTAAGCTTTAACAAAATTTAAGACAAAGTTCTAACTTTGAGCCTCAATATTTTTAAAACTATTTGAGCTATAGAATTAAATCTTACTTCATCTTAAAGAGCATTCACTTCTGATTATAAAAGTATTATTTTGTATTGAAATTTGTAAAATATTAACAAAGTTACAAGCGATTTTGTGAGTCAATGTCAAAAATCAAAACCTTTTCGAGACCCAAAAATGCACAATCAAACTTTAATTTTTCACAGGCCCTAAAACCTCGAAAAAACAAATTGCAAAAACGGTTTTCCACTAATTTTGACCGCCTCTTTCGATTGGCAAAGTCAAAAATGCGAAAAACATAAAATTTTAAAATTGGAATTTTTTGTAAATTTGATTTTCAAATATTTCAGAGAGTCATATTTCTGAAACCGCAAAAGCTATTGGCATGAAATTTGTCCCAACTTGTAGCTCTCAATTAGGGTTACAAAAAAGGTTATTTAAGACTCCGAGCCCAAAGGCTTCGTTTTCGAGAAAATAGGCTCTTAAGCTTTAACAAAATTTAAGACAAAGTTCTAACTTTGAGCCTCAATATTTTTAAAACTATTTGAGCTATAGAATTAAATCTTACTTCATCTTAAAGAGCATTCACTTCTGATTATAAAAGTATTATTTTGTATTGAAATTTGTAAAATATTAACAAAGTTACAAGCGATTTTGTGAGTCAATGTCAAAAATCAAAACCTTTTCGAGACCCAAAAATGCACAATCAAACTTTAATTTTTCACAGGCCCTAAAACCTCGAAAAAACAAATTGCAAAAACGGTTTTCCACTAATTTTGACCGCCTCTTTCGATTGGCAAAGTCAAAAATGCGAAAAACATAAAATTTTAAAATTGGAATTTTTTGGAAATTTGATTTTCAAATATTTCAGAGAGTCATATTTCTGAAACCGCAAAAGCTATTGGCATGAAATTTGTCCCAACTTGTAGCTCTCAATTAGGGTTACAAAAAAGGTTATTTAAGACTCCGAGCCCAAAGGCTTCGTTTTCGAGAAAATAGGCTCTTAAGCTTTAACAAAATTTAAGACAAAGTTCTAACTTTGAGCCTCAATATCTCTAAAACTATTTGAGCTATAGAATTAAATCTTACTTCATCTTAAAGAGCATTCACTTCTGATTATAAAAGTATTATTTTGTATTGAAATTTGTAAAATATTAACAAAGTTACAAGCGATTTTGTGAGTCAATGTCAAAAATCAAAACCTTTTCGAGACCCAAAAATGCACAAACTTTAATTTTTCACAGGCCCTAAAACCTCGAAAAAACAAATTGCAAAAACGGTTTTCCACTAATTTTGACCGCCTCTTTCGATTGGCAAAGTCAAAAATGCGAAAAACATAAAATTTTAAAATTGGAATTTTTTGGAAATTTGATTTTCAAATATTTCAGAGAGTCATATTTCTGAAACCGCAAAAGCTATTGGCATGAAATTTGTCCCAACTTGTAGCTCTCAATTAGGGTTACAAAAAAGGTTATTTAAGACTCCGAGCCCAAAGGCTTCGTTTTCGAGAAAATAGGCTCTTGAGCTTTTGCAAAATTTAAGACAAAGTTCTAACTTTGAGCCTCAATATCTTTAAAACTATTTGAGCTATAGAATTAAATCCTGTTTTATCTAAAAGAGTATTCAATTCTGATTATAAAAATATAATTTTGCATTGGAATTTGTGAAATATTAACAAAATTATGGGCGATTTTCTGAGACAATGTCAAAAAATCCAAACCTTTTGGATCCAAAAATGTCCCATCAATTTTCAATTTTTCACAAGCCCCAGAACCACGGAAAAACAAATCGCAGAAACTTTTTTTCACTAATTTTGACCTCTTCTTTCGATTGGCGAAGTCAAAAATCCGAAAAACCAAAAATTTTTAAATTGGAATGGAAATGGAAAATTGATTTTCAAATATTTCAGAGAGCCATATTTCTGAAACCGCAAAAGCTATAGGCATGAAATTTGTCTCAACTTGTAGCTCTCAATTAGGGTTATTTAAGACTCCGTGCCAGTGGCGTAACTTCAAATCCGGGCCCCCCCCCGCAAGGATTTTCCCGGGGCCCATCTTTTATCTATATATTTTTTTAAATTTTTCTTTATACAGGGTGTCTGTTTTAAGTGATACCACTATTGCTATCTCCAAAACGGTAAAAGGGACGAGGTCGGTTAAATTAGATAAAAATGGCAAATTTTAGTATACCTGTTCATTGAAGATAAGTTCACAGGGTTGCCAAATCTTTGTACGTTTCCGAGATATAAGGGAAATGTGAGAAACATTTAAAACTTATTTATTGAATATTTCAAAATCTATCAACTTTAGAAAAAAGTGTTCAATGCAAAAGTTCCAAGAATCTTTCTTCTCTACAAAATGGCGTTTGTTATCTTCACACAGCTTCTAGTTGTGTTTACATTTTACCTCAGAGGCTTTATATCTCGGAAACAAATACAAAATTGGCAACCCTGTGAACTTACCTCCAATGGATATTGAAATCTGCCATTTTTATTTAATTCACCCGACCTCATAACTCCTGTTTGGGAGACAGCAATAGTGGTACCTATCACTTAAAATGGTCAGTTAATTTTGCATCTTTGAGTATGTCTGACCATTTCTCTCTGAGACTTTTTTACATTGGTTAGACCAAACGTACTTTTTTAATGGTTATGTATTATGAGGTTCATAGGTTAAAATCGAGGGGTGGTTAACTGGTCAAAATCCGTTTACAATTTGGTCAAAATTCCAGAAAAACTCATAAAATCTACTCAGAATTCCTAAAAATCTTTGAAATCCTTAAAAATTTAATAAAATCCCGCAAAATCTCTTGAAATTGCATAAAATCCTACAAAATCTAACAAAATTTCATTGAAACCAAAAAAATTCTGCAAAATCTCATAAAATTATTTACATTCCTAAAAAATATTTCCCTTGAAGTTCCCAAAAATCCTTTGGAATCCCCAAAAACCTGTTGAAGTATCTCAGAATTCCATAATTTAGTGGAAATTTCGAGGAATTTCGGTAAAATTATGTTATTCTAAAAAAGGAATTACATGTAAAATTTTTGCGGAGTTTCCATAGAATTCACATTAAATTTTAGTTCCTCTCGAATTACAAAAATTTCAGTGAAATTCCGATCGAATTACACGAAATCCTGAATGAACTTTAACCGTTTCCGAGATAGCAATACCCTATGAAATAGTTGGGACCCTGTATTTCGATGAATTTTTGAAAAATGACTTGAAGTTTCATTAATATTTCCAGAAATTACTGTTTATAAAAGAGAATTTCAGTAAAATTCCGAAAAATTCTTATGAAAATAAATGAAATTTTGAAAAATTCCTCGAAGTTTTATTGGACTGAAATTTCAAAAAATTCTCATAAAATTTTAGTGAAATTCCGGGAAATTTCTAAGAAATTACAGGCAATGTCAGTGAAATTCCGAAAAACTTTATGAAAATTTTGAGGAATTCCAGGATATTTCACTGGTGAAGTTTTGGGGAATTTTAGTAAAGTTTTAAAAAAATTATGGAATTTCTATAGAATTTCGGAGAATTTCAGTGGGATTTCGAAAAAAAAAATAAATATATTTTCTTACTTTCAAAAAATTTCGATGAAATGTCGAGTAAAATTCCAAGAAATTCTCGTTGAATCACATACATAAATCTTATTGTAGAATTCCAGTAAAATTACATGGAATCCGAAGAATTCCTTTGCAATTTAACAGAATTTCCGTGGAATTTCCATGAAACCACGAAAAATTTCGACGGAATTCCGAAGAATTGAATTATATATTTTTGTGAAGTTCTGAGTAATTTCTGTCGAATTATATAAAATTTTAGTGGAATTCCGAGGAATTTTTGTACAGAATTCCATTGAATTTTATGGTGGAATTCCATGGAATCATGGTGAAATTCGGAAAAGTATTATGAAATCTTATGGTACAATTTTCGGGACTTTTTGTTTTTCTATTCAAATTTGTCATTTGAATGGAATTTCGTGGAATTCCATAAAATCTTTTAGTGAAATTCTAAGGAATTTCTATGGAATAAACAAAATTTTTCGCAGATTTCCCATGAAAAAACTTGAAATTTTAGTGGAATGCCGAAGAATTTCATGAAATCTCATAAGTAGTGTAATTCTGAGGAATTTTTGTCCAAGAATTTCATTGAATTTTATGGTGGAATTCCAAGAATCATATGATGAATTTCAGAAAAGTATTATGAAATCCTATAGTAAAATGTCTGGGAATTTCCGTTTTTCCATTCAAATTTGTCATTTGTATTTAGAATCTCTAAAAACTTTTCAAAAACCTCTAAAATGCTCCAGAATCACCCAAAATTTTTGAAAATCTAAAATCTTCTGAACTCCTGTAAAAACGTGTAAAGATTTTCAAAATTCCCAAAATCCTACAAAATCAATTAAGATGTAAAATGTTATATGGATGGGTTCCTTATTTTATAGAGTTAACTAAAACCTCGAAGCGGTTGATTGGTCAAAATCTGTGTACAAGTCCAGAAAAACATGTAAGATATATTCAAAATCTCTGGAAATCTTAACATAATCTTAACAAAACCTCACAAAATCCCTTAAAAAAATCACTTATTGTAATCGCATAAAATTTCACAAAATCACACAAAATTTTATTAGAACGAAAAAAATCCGGCAAAATATTATAAAATCATTAATATGTATTCCTAAACAAAAATTCCTTCAAAATTTCCAAAAATCCTTTGAAATCATCAAAAATTCGTTAAAATTTCTAAAGATCCTTTAGAATCTCTAATGGCCGATTCTACCAACTATTTTAGGGGAGTTTCAACAATAAGTATTTCTTAAAATGACAGTCTTTTATAGAGAAATGTTTAAAAAATACTTACCATTAAGGCTCCCCTAAATTAGTTGGTAAAAACGCCATAACACCCCTTTCTAAATTCCCTAAAGTGATCCAAAATCACCTAAAATCTCATAAATCTAAAATCTTTTAAAATCCTGTAAAATCACGTGAAGATTTTCAAAATTAATCAAGATTTAATTATGTACACATTTTATGGAGTTAACTTAATTTCGAGCGGTTAATTGATGAAATTTTGTGTACAAGTTGGTCAAAATCCCAGAAAAAAACTCGTAAACTCGTAAAACGTACTTAAAATTCCTAAAAATGTAACAAAATTTTATTAGAACAAAAAAAATCCGACAAATTCCTAATAAAAAAATTCCTTTAACATTTCCAAAAACTCTTTTGGATCCCCAAAAATCCGTAAAAATCTCTAAAAATCCTTTAGGATACTCTAAAAACCCTTCTAACTTCCCTAAAATGCTTCAAAATCACCTAAATTCTTTTGAAATCCTGTAAAATCATATGAAGATTTTCAAAATCCTACGAAATCAATAAAGATTTAAAATCTGTGTACATCTGTGCCCCCAAGATCATGGGCCCCCCCCGCAACTGCGGGGTAATTAAGGGCCCGCATTAATTACGCCTCTGCTCCGTGCCCAAGGGCTTCGTTTTCGAGAAAATAGGCTCTCAAGCTTTTACAAAATTTAAGATAAAGTTTCAACTTTGAGCCTCAATATCTCAAAAACCATTTGGGCTAAATATTTAAATCTTGTTTTATCTAAAAGAGCATTTAATTCCAATTAAAAAAATATAATTTTGTAATGGAATTTGTGAAATTTTAACAAAGTTATGGGTGACTATATAAGGCATTGTCAAAGAACTAGAATCTTTTAAGACCAAAAATACGCAATCAACTTTTAATTTTCTACAATGCTCTAACACTATGATTCTATATCTTTGACAAATCAAATTTCTCAAACTCTATCAGCGTAGGTATTGTAATCCAATAAATAACCTATAGGAAAAAGGCCTGTAATTAAAGGCCTTTTTTTGCACTTCAATATCGATCCTGAAGTAAAAAACTCAATAAATATAAAAACGTTATTAACTCATAAACTTTAGAGAGGCAATCGAAATTTTACGAAGCACGAAATTAACTTTTTCCAAATGTACCTACATATTACACACATATACACGTTGATTATAATTGAATTAAAACCCATTAGGCGGTAATTAATCACCTCGAAACAAATAAAATGATGAGTTTTTAATTATAATTATGTTAAAGGAAGAGGGTCACTGAATTAGGTTTTGGAGCCTCAAAGATTTTATCGCAAAGTGTCTTTTGAGCTGGAACTTGGACAAAGTTATCAAGAAGTGATTAAACCTCGACTTGTCTTTTGCTTAAGGATTTTGTTCAGGAATTTAAATTTTTCTTAGATAAAATGTTAGGGAATTTAAACATCTATTTCCTTCTTCCTCAGAGGACTTCAGAAAAAGATTTTTGGAATGATTATTATTTTGAGCCTCTATTATAGTTAACACAAACTTTGGAATTATTGATTTGACACAATTTATAATATCAAAACCAGATACAAACGTATTATCAGGCACTATACAAAAGGACATAAAAGGTTCATCGGTGTCCATTTAATATCCATCAATGCATAAACTTGTTCGACCAGAAACAGGCCAGAGGCTAAATTTAGCCATACATTGATCTTTTTGTATAATATGACAAAAACGTGCCTTAAAAATAGGAAAAAATTCGATTCATTATAGTAATAATAATTATTTCTTGGAAAACTATATAGACAAGATATCATTTTTTTAACGATTCCAATTTATATTAGAAAATATCTCGGATCGTGTTTGTATCGTAATGATGCCAATAATTCCGTCTTCCTTCTTGGGCAAAATCAAAGTTTGAAAGTCAGCTAAAATTTCAGACATGTTCGTGTCCCGTTGATCGAAGTCAGCAAAAATTACCGAGCGAAAAATATGGCAGCTACAGAAGATGCTGACGAACAACCAGATGGAGCCAATCATAAAAGCCCTACCGATGAAGATGGTACTTTGGAGAATAATTTCAATAAAAAATCGCCTGGCAAGACTTACGGTAATTTTTTTTTCAGTTATTAATTTATTATTTGGATTATTATTTAGTCTACCTTAAGTTTCACTCTGAAACTGCTTTAAGTTCAATCTTATCTTTTGTAGAGCCAGGAAAAGAGGCTTTCTAAGCACCTCTATTCAAATTTAAGCTTCCAGGAGGGCCAATCATGTAATTTTCAAGTTCCCCTAATTGAATTTTGGCTCTGCGATAATGAGAAAAAAGGCTTTATAAACCAAAATTTACTCCAGTATCCAGTATCCAAAATTAAGCTCTTAGAGGAATTTCAAATTGTCAAGCTTCTTCAGTTGATATGTCATTTTTTGAATTTCTTTTTTCACACACCTAGTACAAAGTTGAAACTTGAGAATTATTTAGGAAATATAAGTATTGATCCATTAGATAAATAAATAAATATTTTTATCCCGGTTTTTTTTTAGAAATAGAGCCATTTTGCACCACTCTGTAAAACACCCTTTATATTGAAACTGGAATTGTTTTAAAACTGTTCAAATAGAGCCTCTGAAAGATAATGAATTTCTCTGGAAAATGTCTTAAAATTTGGCTTCTATACAGGGTGTCCTGGAAAAGTTACTGAGGTTGAAGACTATTTTCTCAAGACGTCTCTCGTGTGTTTTTGGAAATAATGCGGTTTTTTTAACGTTACAATGAACCACCCTTTATTAGATATTTTGATATTCATTGTATATTGTATCCCTAAAAATCAGTTTTACACAAAAGTTGAAGGTTTTAGGAGTTTTATTTTTCATCCTGTACAGAGACGAAACTTGAGGATTATATACAGAATTTATTCGACTATTATAGAGGCTCTATTTGTCTATTTTCCTGGAATTTGAAATAAATATCCTGGATAAAATTTCAGTCAAAAAATAAATGAAAAATTCTGTACTTCACCTTGTAAAACAAAGGCTCAAATTTTGTCGATCCATTGGGTACTTTTCCAGGAAATAACAAAGACAGCAAAACAGCCTACACCAAGTCGAACAAGGACAATGTGACCAGGGTAGTGGTTGTGGGCCTAACACCGGAACGAAGACGCGAAACCTGGAACAAAAAAGTCGAATTTTTATTGGCCGTCGTAGGATTCGCAGTCGATTTGGGCAACGTTTGGAGATTTCCTTATATTTGCTATGAAAATGGAGGAGGTAAGTAGTAATTTTTGGATTATTAGCTTTGTTCCAATTTGCCAAAAAACCGTCGCATGAACAGTTTAAAAACCACTCTGTATATATGAATCAGGGATTTTATGCAGAAATTTTAGGCTTTGTGCAGAATCCTGTTGGAACAAACCTATTATATCACTCCATTATTGAGGCATATTTATAAAAAGGCTCAAGTTACCACTTCAACGATAGCCTCTTTATATTTTTTAAATTGAATATTAGTCGAGAAGGGCCTGTTCAAACAAGTTACCAAGAGAAAAATCACCCTCTGGCCGACGTAATCCGCTTTTCCGGGGGATTTAATTTCAATATTTTATCAAAATTCAAACTTGCCCTTTCACCGTTTTAAATTCAATAAGCTTAACTCGAGCTCTCGGGTAATTTTGCTTACAATGACTGTACTAACGAAGCTCGGAACTGCATATTAGGCAATATGTAATTTTGAAGTTGAGTTATAAATCTTTTCTTCGAACTTACAATCTAATAATTCCTAGTGAATGACAGAAAATTGATAACGAAAACTAATTCAAGAGCCGGGCATAATGAAAAATTGAATTTGTAGTTGTTCTTTTTTGCCTTGCCTTTATATTAGATATATTTCACAAATTTCACAATAATCCTTCTATGGAGCTCTACTTTCCTACCTCTCTGTTCTACCTATTTTCCTATAGTTTTTCTATTAGCATTAGATTGAATTATACATGTTCAAGAATCCAGAATAATCTAGAAACCACGACCTATGAATTTTTTCAAATTTCCCTAAATTAAGAAAATTCAAGGGCCTGGAATAGACAAATACATTTATTTCTACTTGTCAATTTCCTCTAAAAAAAGTTATCTTCAACCATTGTAGATCCAAAATTCAACTTTTTAAAGCTTAAAAATTTGATAATTCTTGATAGTCCATAGATTCTGAACCAACTAGAGACTTTTTAAGATCCGTTACATAACTTTGAAGACTTTTTAAAGTTCATCATTGAAGACCATATATTTTAAAGACACAAAAAGTCGGAAAACTAATGAAGGTGTTCAAGGAATTAAAGACTAAATAATTGAAATTTTTTGAAGATACAACAACGAAGACTATGGATTTTAAAGGCAAATTCTAGAGATTTCAAAGGCCCTAAAGACGGAATGGTTTAAAGATTTGAAAAACTTCTGAGGCTAATTATTGATTTCTTAAAGAGAAAGTGAGAAAAAAAGGAAAAATCAAAAACCTGGAATAGTTTCCTCAATTATTAATTTTTTGAAGAGCAATTGAGGGAAGAAGGAAAAATCATCAAGAGCCTGGCATAGACAAAAGTTTCCACTGCATTTTTTATTTTTTACATACGTATTTGTCCTTTTGCCAAGAGAACTAATTTTCTTGAAATCTTATATCTTGTTTTGAGTACTTATTGATATTCACGTCATGAGATTCCCTAGGTAATCTGGATTTCATCTTGTGACGTAGTTCCACTTCTTGACTGGTTCTGTGGACAAGCATTTTACACTGAATTGTGATCAGATTGTTGAATGATCACTACGTAACATCAACCTTTTCTAATCGTGCATTTTTGGCCTTGAAAAAGTAAAACTTTTCAGGGGTAAACCACAAGCAAAATCTGGTATAGAAATTATCAGGAGAAATTAAGAGGAAATTGGAGGAAATCAGAGGAAATCATATAAGCAAATCCTTAGGAAATCAAGAGAAATCTAACATCTATCTATTTACAAAATTTCCTCGAAAATTTCAATCCAATCTTTGAAATATTTTCCTCAAAAATAAAACAAAATGACATCGACACATATATTTTTGCAGTTAACATAATTTTTCATCAAAATTCATACTTAGAACTTGGTTTAAAATCCTTCTGGAGGTCGGTTTAATTCAAAATTTAAGCTCAGAACTATAAATAAAGTTCTTCATGAAGTGAATGTTTAGCAGCTCAAAACTGGAAAAATGATCCGATCATAATTTGAGCTCTGAACTTATGATTTTTAAAATTCAATTTTTCAATATTCCCGACACTTGATTGACTCAGTTTTATATTGTATGTAATTAATCGAATCAAACAAAAGCCTAGGAATATTCAAAAAATGAATTGTAAAAATCGGAATAGTATTTTAAAGATTATTTCTAAAAACCTCAGATTATATGAAAATTTTCAATAAGTAAAATTGTCTGTTGGTACTAAAGCTTAACGTTTGCCGCTCCAAATCACTAAAAGCCATATAGAATTTAAAGCCACTGAAAAGCAAACTGAAAACTTACTTTTAGAAGGAAAAAATAAATAGTAAGTTGTAAGAAAAATCAATTTAATGTTGTTCTAGGTGCCTTTCTAATTCCTTACACAATAATGCTAATCTTCGGAGGTCTGCCCTTATTCTACATGGAACTAGCTTTAGGCCAGTTCCACAGAAGCGGCTGTCTGACGATCTGGAAACGAATATGTCCGGCTTTGAAGGGTAAGTTTTCCCTTGTCAGTTAAAGATTCCAGATTCCACAAAACCTTTTAGCGCGAATTGGAAACTGTTAAGTTAAGGTTCATGTTCAATTCATTAGTTTTTATCAGCGAAAGATATAAATGGTGGAAAATTTCAAATGTAGGTGCATTAATATGTATGCTGCTTTGGCAATGAAATAGATAAAAGGGTAGTTTTAGTGAGAGTGTAAATTTTATTTATTTATTCGTTTATTATTATCGAAGGCTTCGCACACAAGAGCGAACAATTATGCGAACAAAACATCAACAATTAACTGGGGGAACAAAAGAGTTTCCCATTGGGAAATTCTCTTTATTTTTTGGTGTTTTAAATTGGAAGCTCTTCTCGTAGGGAGACAATGCCGACACTAGTTTTAAGAGATTAGAGGATTTTTGTTGAGGATTTCAAAGCTTTGTGTGTTTTTGAAACAACAGTTTAAGTTAGTTAGGTATACATACATACACATTTTATTGAAATATTTTACTCTTTAGGGTCGGTTCCTCAACAAGTCACCTCCGGGTAAACTCCAGAGTAAACATTGACATGTTTGGATTGGATTTGAAACTAACCCAGAGGTGACTCGCTTTTGATAAATCGACCCTTAGAGGCGTGCTTAAGGTGGGATTTCTAAATAATTGTCTAAATCATTAGTATATACTAATTATTTTTATCTAATGTTTTGTTTATTCCAGGCTCTTGAATGTAAATGACAGTAAATGTATATCTAATATAATAAATAAAACAAAAAAACAATTCAAGAGCTTGAAATATTATTTCTATTTTGAACAGGGCCGCAACTAGGGGGTGGTGAACTAGGCGCGAGCCCAGGGCGCCAAAGTACCGAGCCGCCAAATAAAATTAATATACAACAAATATTGATCACCCCGTATCTTTACACAGTGGTGGAACTGTTTTCGATTATCAGCTTTCCTGGAAGATTTCCTACAAGAGCCGGGAATAATAAAATATTTATCACTGTGTATATATCTTTATTTAGTGGCATTTTTTTGTTGAGTCAAATAACAGTGGGTAAAATTGTTCTCTATTACCGGCTCTCGTGAAATTAAGAGCCGAGGATAATAAAATATTGATCACCCCGTATCTTTACACAGTGGTGGAATTGTTTTCGATTACCAGCTTTCGTGAAAGATTTCCTACAAGAGCCGGGAATAATAAATATTGATAACTCTGTAAAATTGTTCTCTATTATCGGCTTTCGCGAAAGATTTTCTACATTAAGAGCCAGGGATTATAAAATATTGATCACCCTGTATCTTTACTAGGGATGTAAGCCAATTTTTCTGACAATGTCATGTCACAGTCAAAATGAAAATGACGATCACGTCATGTATTTTTATGACACTCCTGTCATTTATTTTTTTAACGATTGAATTTTCTGACTGCTAATTTACTAACTGACCGTAATTAAAATATATGACCGTCATTGCCGTCATTGAAATATATGAAAGTGTCACAAAAATATTATCTCTTGAGATTTCCTGAAATCTTTAATATCTTTGGATATCTCCAAATTTTCTGCTCTTGGTATATACATATCTTCAACAAGTATCCCAAAATCTTTCCTGGATCTTCTCAGATATCTTCTCAAATATCTTCTGAATCTCCTTGGATCCCCTCAAATTAACTTGAATTTCTGGGAATCTCCTTAATATCTTTGGATATCATAAAATCTTTCTCGGACATACAAAATCTCTTCGAAAAGTATTCCAAAATCTTCCAGGATCTCTTCAGATATCTGTATAATCTTCTTGGAGCGTCTCAGGAATATTCGAATCTTGTTGGAGCTTCTCTTGATATTTGCGGATATTCTTTTTTTTGAACGAATTAAGGAATCTCCCAGGATATCCCATGAATATATTCAAATTAACTTGATTCTCTTTGAATTTCGTGGGATCTGTAATATCTTTGGATATCTCCAAGCTTTCTCCTCTTGGGATACAAATATCTCTAACTCCCAAAGTCTCCTCTGGATTTTTTCAAATATCTTCCTTAGATCTCCCAAAATTAAATTAGATTTCTGGGAATCTCTTCAATATCTCTGGTTACCCTGAAATTTTTTTCTGGCAAAATATCTTCACAAAGTATTTCAAAATATTCCTGAATCGAATCGACTCAGATATCTCTTTGACCTTCTTGGAGCGTCTCAGTTGATATTCGTATTCGTTATGGAGCTTCTTCTGATACTCTTGCTATACAAATATCTTTAATAAGTATTCCAAATTCTTCCCTGGATCTTCTCAGATACCTTCTGAATTTTTTGGATCTCCTCGAATTCACTTGGATTTCTGGAAATCACCATAACACCCTCGCCGCCAAATATATTTTCAATTTTTTCGTTGTGGGCCAAAATGATATTATGATGTATAATGACCAGATAAATTCTTCTGAATTGTTATTTTAGTTTTATTTTAACCCCTTCCCCCCCTAACCCCATTTTTTCATAATGTACATTAATGTGACACTTTTTCATTTTACCTCTACCCCGTAAGTTGTATTCGTCCTACGCCAATGCTCTGTATACCGAAATAAAGCCACAGGCCAACAGAGTAAATCCCCCATATGAAATACGTTATCGAATGTAATACCACAAGAGGTTTCAGGATTACCGGATAATACTTTTACCTGCCACGAAACGCGTTACGCAACAACACCACGACTCCGAAGGAGGAGTGATGTTGCTGGTAACATGCATGAGTGAAAAATTATCTGGTTCATTTTAAAGCTCAAGTGGTATTTAGAGGATTATTTTACGTATGAGAATGCAAAAAATATGGAAATAAATATGTATTAAATGATTTGAACATCTAAACAATCAATACAAATAAATAGTTGCTATCAGGAACCGTTTGTTTGTATCAAAAATTAGCATGACAACCATGTATAAAATAACATGGGAGAATTATCGAATGTAAACAAGAGGTTTCAGGATTACCGGATAATACTTTTACCTGTCACAAAACGCGTTATGCAGCAACACCACGACTCCGAAGGAGGAGTGGTGTTGCTGGTAACGCGTTGAGTGTCAGGTGAAAGTATTAGATAATCCTGAAACATCGAGTGGTATTCAAAAGGTTATACAACGAACTAAACTTAAATGCTTTATTTAATTTTATTATTATTAATGACAAATGCCACCAAGCGCGATAATCCCAAAAGGCTTATCACTTGTTAAGCCTCTCGTGTCATATGGGAATAATGTACAGTGAGTTGTATAATCGCTGTAATTCTCTCTAGTTAAACAAATGGAAAAGAGAATTTTCGCTGTAATTCTGAAAATCGTCACTTGTCTTATGGGATTTCTAACACATGAGTGGAATAATCGGTGTTACACTTTTGATATACCAGCGTTTTAACCAAAACGTTGGTGGTGTACATTACTGTTACACGTGTACAGGGTGTTCAAGTTATAAAGTACCACCACCTGTAACTTTTTTATTTTTGATCGTACATAAAAGTTATTAATTCATATTTAAATTTACCAAGGGGTGGTTACAAAATGGCGGCGGGACCTCTATTGTCGCCACTGTTTGTGAAGGTTTATTTAGCCACTGTAGCTCCAGCGGCTATTGTGAACACGTCCCATTCAAAAGTTCCATTTCTGTTGTGAACACGCCCCAGTCAAAAGTTTTATCAAAACGGGGCAACGGAAACTCGGTGAATCACCGATTCAGCTTTCGGTTTCGGTTGGGGTCTCTTATACCCACATTTGCTCAAAATTGGCAAAATTTGGATGTGGTCACCAAATATATTTTTTTTCTCCTTTGGATTGCCTTCGCGGCACTTAGGGGGCGCCATATTTCAGTCTCCCCCCAGTCCCCCCCCTGGGGATAATCATATCGCTACGGCCCTGAATACATAATAAAAAAATCTGGGTCGTACATAAAATGTTATATATTCCACGTACGGCAACAACGCTCATTACTACACTCGTGTGATTACCACGACTCAGTCTACGACCTTGTCTTGGCAATATTCCCCACTTGTTACTGTAATGAAGCTCATACCGTACTAGTAATATAAATAACTACATTTCTATGGATCACGACCGTTGATGATTGATATCCAAAACCATAAATAACTACCTATTATTGAATGGTGTTTGGGTGGGCCACTTCACCATTTGCCCGGTGGGCCAAATTACCCCAGTCCGACACTGCATACTTACCAGAATATCACCCAGAGGTGCCAGATGAAATAAAAACATTTCGTGAGAATCGAGAAAGAAAAATCGTGAGAAATCGGGAGACTAAAAATTGCTTAATAGTAAAGGAAAATAAAGCACAACAATTCTTTTATAGATTTTTGATAAAGTAATTATGATTTTACATCCATAAGAAGTAAACATTTCTTTATTAAATCTTATATCCTTGTATTTTCCGTGTTTTAGCAGGTGGTTCTGAGAGCTGAGCCTGGTTTTCACTAAGTTCATTTTCTGCAGGATTGCCCATCCCAATAAGGCGTACGTTCGCCAATTCTCGAGCCGGCAACAGGTCTGCTACTGACGTCACCACTATCAGCAGCTGATAGTGGTGACGTCACCCGCAGACCCCGATGGATTGCTTGCGATTCAGGCTGTGCTTATGAGTTAATTTTTTCGTCGATTTTAAATTTAGAAAAAGTGATTTTAACGTTTAGGAACTCGTTTTTTTTGACCTATAGTGTTTAAAAACTCGGATAATGTATTTTACCCCATTATTTTCGATTAAACCTTATATTTAATTAGATACTGATTTGTATTACTACAGAGAGAATTCGTAAGAATTGCTACTTCATTCGTGAGATTTTATTTTATTTTTTTATTATTATTATATATTACTGGAATTGGTTAATTTACAATAAATTGCACTTAGGTATAGACTACAATAAAAATTACTTCACTATCACATGGTATTATTATTCTGCACCTAGACATAAATATCTGTATGTGCAGTTAGCATAGAGAAAAACATACTATAGTACAATTAGCCATAACCAAAGACAATAGATCCCATCAATAATTTACATAAAGCAGAAGACAAAAACAAGAGTGGACTTATTTTGAAATGTATACACAGAAAAACTACCAATGTCTTCAAAACATGTCAATAGTTCAAATTAATACAAGTACCTTACAAGAAAACCAAGAATAAGTTTAAATTTTGAAATATATAGTTTAGGCATTTACTTTTGAACACATTTTTTTTACGTATCATTCTTATATTTATAGGTAACAGGTTGTAGAACTTAGGAGCTAAGTAATTAAAAAATCTTAAATTTAGATTGGAGTTGCTATTTGGTATTATGAGATGCCCACTTTGGTTATTTCTGGTACTATAGGGGTGATTAATTTTTTCTATAGAAGATGGTTTAACATAGACGTTCATGCAAAGAGAATAGATATACAATGTTCTTACGTTAGGAACATCTTTAGAATATAAAAGGGTTGTAGAATACCTTTTGTTCTTTCCATAAACAACCTTAAGGATATAATTTTGGACCACGTTTAATTGTCTTTAGCATTGTTGTACAGACCTCCCCATATGGGAATGCCATACCTTATCAGCGACTCTATCATCGCTTTGTAAACCATCAATAACACATTCTGGCTTAGGATATGTTTTAAAATATAAAACCTAGAAATGAGTCTTCGAATATTGAGGGTAAGTCGTGCAACATGTTTGTCCCATCTCAGATCGTGAAATTCTTATCTAAATCGTGTAATCTTACGAATAATCGTGAGATCTGGCAACACTGATATCACCCCGTATCTTTACACAGTAGTAAAATTCTTTTTGATTACTTACCAGTTTTCGTGAAACATTTCCTACAAGAGCCGGGAATAATAAAATATTATTGATAACTCTGTAACTTTATACAGTGGCTTATTCTTGTTGAGTCAAATTACAGTGGGTAGAATTTTTCCTATCAGCGGCTCTCGTGAAAGATTTTCTACATTAAGACCTGGGGATAATAAAATATTGATCACCCCGTATCTCTACACAGTGGTGGAATGGTCTTCAATAGACCTATCTATTTTACCAGACAAAGAGGTGATAATACGAAAAGTTCATTAGATAAAAAAAGACACAGAACACTCATTGCGCAAGACGAGGCAGAACGTACAAAATAATGTTAGACTTACGTATAGCAACCCGTCCTTCTTATTTGCACGGAATAAAAAGAAAAGGAGAAAGACCGCGTGTTGTGCAACGTATTTGTCAATGGAAATGTCAAACAACTTTTGAATGACACTTGTCAAGTTAAATATCAATTGTACTTTTATTCTTATCAGACCACGCGCAATGAACAAGGACAAGGAGATGCCCAGCGTGCAAAACGAACACCTCACACCTGTACTAGTTAGCCAATGAAAAGGCATTGCCTCGTGTTGCGCGCGCATACCAGGTAAAAATAGATAGGTCTATTACCAGCTTACGTGGAAGATTTCCTACAAGAGCTGGGAATAATAAAATATTGATCATTGATCACTCTGTATCTTTATACAGTGACTTATTTTTGTTGAGTCAAATTACAGTGGGTAAAATAATTGTTTTCTATTACCGGCTCTCGTAAATGATGTTAAAAACTAGACATGATAAAATATTGATCATCCTGTATCTTTATACAGTGGTTGGATAAGTAGTAGGCGCAAAAATTTGGATTGGCCTTGGGCGCCGAGGGTTCTAGTTGCGGCCCTGATTTTTAAAAATCATAACTTCAATTCTGTTAAAGATAGAAAGTTAAATTTCCAATGATTCTTATCCTAGTAGAGGACTACAATCTCTGAAAATTTCAACTCAATTGGACTTACCTAGTTCCTGAGAAAAAAATCCCGGTAAGAAATCTGGAGTGAATTTTCGAATTTTTCTTTTTAGGTGTCGGTTATGCCATTTGTCTACTAGACATCTATATGGGCATGTACTACAACACCATCATAGGCTGGGCAGTCTACTACCTGGTGGCCAGTTTCACCTACGAACTGCCCTGGACCAAATGCAACAACGAATGGAACACCATCGATTGCATACCTGTAACCGATACGGCCATAAGGCACAATGCCAACTCTACAACACCAGCCAAAGAGTTTTTCGAGTAAGAAATCAACAATAATTTTTGATTCAATTTATTGGTAGGTACATTTTTGCAGAAGAGAAGTTTTAGAACAATACAAATCGGATGGGCTTAATAGAATGGGCCCAATAAAGCCTGCACTGGCTTTATCAGTCTTTTCAGTGTTTATTTTAGTGTATTTTTCCTTATGGAAAGGTGTTAAAAGTACTGGAAAGGTAACAATTTAGGCTGTAATGAGTGTAAACGCTTATTTTATAAATTTTAGGCTGTTTGGGTAACAGCTCTGGCACCCTACGTGGTCCTTATAATCCTACTAGCCAGAGGCGTTACTCTTCCAGGCGCCATGGAAGGCATTAGATATTATTTGACTCCAGAATGGCACAAGCTCTACAATACAAAAGTCTGGATAGATGCTGCATCCCAAATCTTTTTTTCATTGGGGCCTGGATTTGGCACCCTTTTAGCTTTGTCCAGCTACAACAAGTTCAATAATAATTGTTACAGGGACGCTGTTTTGACCAGCAGCATTAATTGTTTGACTAGTTTTCTTGCAGGATTTGTAATATTTTCAGTGCTAGGTTATATGGCACATGTGCAACATAAAAGTATAGAACAAGTTGGATTAGAAGGTATGATTTTCACGCTAATGAAATATTGAATTTAAATTAAATTGTTTTTTATTATAGGTCCAGGCTTGGTTTTTATAGTGTATCCAGAAGCGATAGCCACAATGGGTGGTTCAGTGTTCTGGTCGATAATTTTCTTTTTGATGCTGATCACGCTGGGACTGGATAGCACTTTTGGAGGGTTGGAGGCGATGATAACGGCCCTTTGCGACGAGTACCCCAAATCGTTGGGCAGGCACCGAGAGATTTTTGTTGGATTTCTTTTGCTCGGGATTTATATTTGTGCTTTGCCCACAACAACTTACGTAAGAAATGATTGTTGCATCAAAATTAATTTTAATACTTTCTGAGCAATTGAGCCTCAAAGTTGAAATTATTAATTTAATCGAATTAAAATAATAAATGGCGCACCTGTTTTATTGTTATTAATTATTAACAATCAGTTAAAATAAATAACTAAATTCACTCACCATTGATACTGAAATGTGTTCTGGAGCTCCATTGCCGTAGCCGTAGAAGGACACGAGATACCCCATGTGAGTCTGCAAAGAAAATTTCTAGTTAATTCGAGAATAAAGTAGGCAATGCATAGCTTGAGCCCAAAAGTAAATAAAATAGGTATCATCTGAGCCCAAAAAATTTTCGAATTTACCTTTTCTATTATATTTAAACAGTTGTAGATAAAATATTGTATTGTAGCTCAAATTTAAACTGTGAATTACAGTTTTATATTTTCGTTCCCTCGATTTTACGCATTCAAAACAGGTTCCGAGTGTTCTTTTGCATATTTTTCTCCGGGAATTATTTTTTTTTTTTTTCGTACGGTACTCGCCTTTTAATTGACTTTTGCATGTGGTACTTAAAAAGCATTAACTTTTGAGCCCAAAACGAGTCTGTAAATATCAAAAAAGGATCTTTGCAGTCTTCAAGCACAATTGTAGATAAAATCTAGACTTTTCCCAAAACAGTGCCGGATAACCCCTAGGCACATAAGGCACCTGCCTAGGGCCCTCCCAAAAAGGGCCCGTAATAATAAAATACATATACTTTGTTTCACCAGAGTTCATACTTTTTGCCTTCTTTTTTTAACAAATAGAAATTGACTGAAATAAATCAATGACGTCAAAAACGTTCGTCGGTTCTTAAATTAGAAGTCATTCATTTTAATTTGTCAAAAAAAATAAATAAAAGGTATTTTCTGGGGTTTCAGTCTAAGGGCTAAATAAAAGACTTTTGTACTTCTGAAGTAAAAAATAAAAAATTTTGAAAGCTAGCACAAAAGACCTATTTAGCCCTTAGACTGATATCCCAGAAAATATCTTCTATTTTTTTATAGGTACAGGGTAGAGGGTGTCCGTTTTAAGTAATACTTCTTTGGTAATACCACTATTGCTATTTCCGAAACGGTGAGAGATGAGGTCGGTTAAATTCATTGGATGAATTAGACATAAATGGCAGATTTTATTGTCAATAAGGAAATGGAGGTAAGTTCACAGGGCTGCCAAATTTTTGTTCGTTTCCGAGATCTAAGGAAAAATGTAAACACATCTAAAAGGCTGTGTGAAAATAACAATTAGACCATTTTGTAGAGAAGAAAATATCGTGAAACTTTTGTATTGAACACTTCTTTCCAAAATTGATAGATTTTGAAATATTTATTAAATAAGTTTTAGGCATTTTTTTACATTTTCCCTTAAATCTCGGAAACGAACAGAAAGTTGGCAACCCTGTGAACTCACCTTCAAAAGATACTAAAATCTGCCACTTTTGTCTAATTTAACTGTCTATACCTAATCTTCAACAAAAATTGCCTTCTGTCAGTTAACAATAAAATAAGAATTTAAACGACCTCGTCCCTTTCGGACATAGCAATAGTTGTATCACTTAAAATGGACACCTTGTATATATTATGTATTTATCTTCTTTGTCAAGATATTTATTTGCTGACAAATAAAAATATTTAGACATACCTACATACTGTCCGTCGATTTTAATCTGATACTTGGACGGAATGTGAGCTGGTGGCTCCCTACATTAGAACGCCAATGGTTACCTGACGTCACACCTGTTTTTGCCATATGAAACACCCCCTCGCTCCTCATACGGAAAGTGTCAGTTAAAAATCGACGAACAATAATACAATCCTATATCATCGTGTGTTTAATTCAATGATTGTTGGAAAAGAAAAAAAATATATATATTGGCGGGGCCCAATATATTTCAAGTGCCTAGGGCCCAAAAAACTTTCAATCCGGCACTGTCCAGAAATACTTACTGAACACAGGACTGTTGCAGGTGGGCATTTTTGCTTGATGAGTTGAAATTTGGAAATAAAATCAACAAAAAAAAACATATTACTTATGCGAAAATTCGAAAATTCATGAAAAAAAAAGAAGAATAATTGCCAACTTTGTGTGCAAAAATGGGCAAAGGACCCCGCACAGTTCTTATGGGATTTCTGACCGCGGTCAAATTTAACCAAATTTTAGTATGTTATAGATCTCACCTTTCTGATCAATAACTACCATGGGCATAACTTAATCCTATGACTAATTTTTGAGATACAGGATGTTCAATGTGTGAATGTCTGATATGCATTATGACATCCTATTCAATCAGCCAAATCATATTCGTGTGAGAATTCAGTCAAGGCACAGAAATCAAGTGAAATACCAATAGTTAAGTCTACTCAAACCATAGATTCATGTACAGGGTGTCCCATTTTTTGTTGTACATAAGGAATAACTCTGTTGTTATTGTGTTATTGTAGTTAAAAGGATTCGGTTTTCGCGAACTTTGGCTACTTTTTTGTCAAACGAAAGATGGCGCCAATAGAATTCTCATTGATCTTTTGGTTTTTTCAACCCCTTGTATCTCGGTTCTCTCATAAGTGATCGAAAAGGTGACAACAGATTCTTATTTTTACTCGAAGTGATAAATTATGAACCAAACATAAGTATATTTTTTCAAATGAGACACCCTGTATATTAATTGGATAGCTCTGCTTTTGCTGATTTCAATGATAGAAAGTTCGATAGGTGTATTTCAATCATGTCTGTTTTTGTCACAAGAAAAAATGTGTCAGAAAAGAACATTGCATCTGTAAGGAAAATGAGAACATTGTTCCTAATGACGAAACATTTAAAAATATAATTTGCTCGAAAACTGTTAGAGAAAATTTTGTATAATTGAAATCAGCAACAACAGAGCTATCCAATGATTTTATAATACATCGGGTGTCTCAATTGAAAACACTATGTTTGGTTCATAAATCAAAAACCATCACTTTTAGCCGAAAAACTGACTACGCCACTGGAGTCTACGTAAAAATATTTATAAGAATCCGTTTTCACCTTTTCGATCAAATATGAGAGAACCGAGATACACAGGGTGTGTCCAAAAATGCAACTTTTCAAAAACACCTTGTATCTGAAAAAATCCGAAACGGCGATGACAATAATTCTGTTAGCGCCATCTTTCGTTTGACAAATACAAGTATAGAGGGTGTGTTACAAAAATGTGGCAAACCAAAGTTGAACCGTTTTAAATGGAACACCCCTTATATTATTGACCCATTGGATTAGCCTTTTAAACCTGATTCCAAATATACTAGGTTTGTTAGGTTTATTCCTAGTAGTCCGGGAGAAAATAATAAAAAAAGGGGTGGAATAATTGCATTTTTATTGAAAAAGGTGAAGTATAGAGACCTCCATCAAAATATGTATAAAGGTAATCATTCAATGAAAAATCCATATTATCTCTTCAAAATTGGATTTTCAGAGGCCGAACTATGAGGAATAAACCAAGAAAAACTAGTATAGCTACTTATTTTAATCAGGCTAATCTAATAGGTCAATAATATAAGGGGATTTCCATTTAAAAAAGTTTACCTTTGCTTTGCCACACTTTTGTGAAACACCCTGTATACTTGTAACTAACTTCATTGCAAAGTTTCTGATATTACCTACAACTTTCAGATTTGACATTTCTGAGTATCTCCTCTTCAAACAGGTGGGATAGGTGTGGGTGCAAAATATAGACAATCACCCGGTACAACCAAAATGGGACACTCTGTACTCTGTGACATATAATCATAATGCATATCGGACATTCACACATTGAACACCCTGTATCTCAAAAACTAGTCATAGGATTAAGTTGTATCCATGGTAGTTATTGATTAGAAAGGTCAGATCTATAACATAACAGGCGGGAATTTCAAAATTTGAATTCAATAGCCAATTAAAATCCAGGAATACTCGATAATTGAATTTTAAAACCAATCAAGAGGCAGGAATGTTTAAAAATTAAGTCAATCAAAAACCCGAAATTTATAAAAAAATGAATTTTAAAGCCAATCAAATCAAGAGCCGGGACAATTCAAAATTTTGAGTTTCGAAGCTAATCGAAAGGCAGGAAGATTCAAAAATTGTATTTTAAAGCCTCTTCATTGGCTGGGAATATTTAAAAATTGAATTTAAACGCCAATCAAGAGCCTGGTATATTGAAAAATTAAATAAATTTTTCTATTCCCGGCTATTCATCTTCAATATTTAAGATACGCAAATAGTCCATTCAAGATGCGGGAATTTTCAAAATTTGGAGGAAAATTCAAAATTTGAGTTTTGAAGACAATCAAAAGGCGAGAAGATTCAAAAATTGTATTTTAAAGCCAAAGAAGAGCCGAGAATATTAAAAAATTGAATGCAGGTACATATTTATCTATTCCCGGCTCTTTAATATTTTAGATACGCAAATAATCTTTCCAAAAGAATTTTCAGAATGTAAATTCAAAAGTCAATCAAAATCCAGAAATATTCGAAAATTGAATTTAAAAGCCAGGAATGTTTTAAAAATTATTTCTAAGTCAATCGAAAGCCTATAATCTTGAAAAAATTGAATTTTAAAACCAATCAATAGCCGGAAAAATTCAAAATTTGAGTTTGCCAATCGAAAGGCAGGAATTTTCAAACTTTTAATTCAATAAATAGCCAATCAAATAAATAAGTCAAAAAATCATAGAATAAGCAAAAAATAACTGAAACATCATTTCATCATTTTGACAACTTGCTACAAAAAAAAAAAAAGGAAAATATAATTTTTGGCTCTATATTTTTTTTCAAATCCTGATAAGGTTGGAAATAAATGCACATATCTTCATTAATATCGAAACAAATTATATCATTGAAAAAAGCATTAAATTCTCTATAAATCTATGCTACTAAAATATTTTCCAATACAGGTTTTTTTAGAGCTTAATAGTAGCTACAATTCCTGGAAATTTTGATTCAATGTCACTCACAGATTCCAAATTATTGAGGCTTGAAAGATTTTAATATTTTTTCCATTTCCATTCATGATTACTTGGATGTTGTAAATTAAATGTATCTATATGGACCGGCGGCCCAACATGACATCGAATTTCCAAATATGTCAAAAATAGTGTATTTTAAAGAGGCGCCCAAATGCCAAAGAAGGAACCTTTGGAACCAGCTTTGATGGATGCCAGACTTTCCTTTGCAATATCTTCACCACTGAAGCAGATGCCTTATCTATTCAAAACAGAAATATAATATTTTTTTGTGCTTCATGTAAATCTGGGCTTGCTGAAAAGGACTTAATTATAAAAGTCCTCGAAAATATAACTGAAAAGCAGAAACTGGAAATAATCAACAGGGATATGTTTCACGAAAAAAAGGATTTGGATGATCGCCACATTATTGAAAGCTTAAACGAAGACATAGAACAACTTCAATATGACCTAAAATTGAAATAAAACCACATCAAAAGGCTTGAGCGGGGCTCTCAAATACTAACTGATGAGGCCGAAGCAGTTGAAGAAAGCTACCATCGAAAAACTAGTCAACTTGCTCAGACCATCGAAGCACTGAGAGCTAAACTTTCTAAAACTGATAAAGTAAAACTGGATATTGAGAACTAAAACAGAACCATAAATATCTTTGAACTGAATAATACCACTCATTCTGTTTCACTATTTGAGAAGCTGAGCAGCAGCTGTAATCTGGGTGGGGAATCCATGATTTGTAACAGTACTAGTCTGGATCCCAACTCCTCTCCTCATATAGTATTGCTTACTGAACACTGGCTAAAAGATTCCGAACCACTATCTATCCCAAATTACTATGCACTATCGAAGTTTTACAGAAATGAATTTGAACACGGGAGCACTGGTATTCTGATAGGTGCTGAATTGGCTGAGAACAGTGATCTCTGTAACTGTAGCAAGTACGATTTCTTTATAATTGAGAAGATCTATATTTTACCCTTAAGATGCATGTTAAAGAACCCACACGAATCACAAACAATTCTTCCACAACCATAGACTACCTGTGTTCTAATCTGGATAGTGAAGTTGAAGTTGACTGCTATACAGACGATCCTGCGCTGTCTGATCATGAAGCTGTATTAGCTTCTTTTCCACTTTTAACTGAAGCCACAACTTCTCATGAAAATCGCGGAAGGATTTTCAGTAAAAGAAACTTTACTCACTTTAGGCAAATGTGCAGTAGTGCTGACTGGAATAACATACACTGTAAGGGTGTATCAGGTATGAGTACAAATATTTCAACATGAGATAATATGGCCCATTTCAAGCTAAAACTGTCCTATTAACCATGGGTCAATTGTTAGTATTTTCGGAGTTATCGCAGAATTTAAATAAAGAAAAATGTTAACAACGTGACAACATTGTACAGGTATTATCTCTGCCAGGATATAAATGTAAATAAAACTGGAAAATGTAAAAAGTTTTTTTTTTGCACGGAGTTTATTTATTTTCATCTGTTTACTTTTCGGTTTGTTATTGGCTTTCAAATAATGTAAATAATAACTTGCATTTTTATCACTTTTCTAGTAAAAATAAAAAATGTACCGTTTTATTAAGTTGTGAATTGCACTCAATGACATTTTTGCACTGAACATTCAAGAGAAAAATCAAATAATACTTACTCAGCTACTTGTCAAATCCTTATTATGAAAATATTAATTGTTGTTAAAAGGTTCTCAAAACACTAAAATCAACACGCAAATTTTGCACACTTACAACTCAGACTTCCTGTATCACGCAATCTTTGTAAAACGGGCACAATGTTCTTTCATCAGGTGGGTGCTTTTCTTTTGGGAAATCTTTCCTTAGTTTCCTTGTAAATTCTTGCGGCTAAATGAGCATTTTGCAACGTTTCTGCCTGAACAAGTATTCGATGTTTCTAAACATTTGATTTGAAAAAAAATATGAATTTGAATTACGCGCGTTTCCTAACTAGACCAAATCAAGAATCAATTTATTCAGCCCCACCAAGGTTCAACCTTCAACCGCCTATTCTTTATTGTGCTGTGTTGCCAGATATTTAGATACCCTTTTACAAGTGAAATTTGTAAGTTGTTTTTTCAATTTTTTGTTATAGTTGTTGACTAGAAATGCATAATTACTTAATAATTGGATAAACTAAATTTTTCTACATTTCATAATGATTAAAATTTTCTTTATCTTTAAAATATTCGTTAAAAAATGTCAAAACTTCAAAGGCCTTTTTCTCAAAAATGGTTGAGTTTGGACCCCATGTTGTGTAAACTTTTTTTGTTCAAAATGGGCCATATCTTCACGTGTTAAAATTTTTGTAGTCAAACCTGATACACCCTGTATACATACAGGTTGTTTCACGAACATCGAAATAGAGGCGTTTTGGGATATTTCAAGGTCGATTTAAAAAAAACGCTCGGGCACATCAATTTTATATTCTAGGGGGAAACTTTTTGACCCCATCGGTATTTCGCTAGGGTGCACCCCCTGGATGGGCTGACTTTTACCCCTCTTTTTTAGATAGGGAAGATGAGTCGAGTGGTACCTTGTTTCAACGGTATTTTGATTCTCGTCACAACTGTGTATTTTTTTTTTGATAATCGAATGATTAGTTCTCAAGATATTCACTGTCAAATTTGCCATGAGCTAAATAGGAAACAATCTTCTGGCCCTGTTATTCCCAAATTAATACTTTCCTGACTTTCCTCTTGGACACGTCAATTTTCTTTCTTTGTGTGCTTCTGAAAAAATTAAAATTGGCGTGTCCGGAAGGAAAGTCAGGAGTGTGTTAATTTGAGAATAAACAGGGCTAGAAGATTGTTTCTTATTTAGCCTATGGCAACTTTGACAGTAAATATCTTGAGAACTAATCATTCGATTTACAAAAAACGTACACAGTTGTGATGAGAATCAAAATACCTTTAAAACAAAGTACCACTAGACCTTTCCCTATCTAAAAAAGAGGGGTGAAAGTCCCCCACCCAGGAAAGTCCCCCCACCCAGGAGGTGCACCCTAGCGAAATACCGATGGGATCAAAAAATTTCCCCCTTGAATAGAAAATTGACGTGTCCAAGCGTTTTTTTTTTTTTTAAATCGATACTAAAATACCCTAAAACGCCTCTGTTTCGATGTTCGTGAAACAGCCTGTATAATTTAAAAAAAGCATTAAATGAACCTCTAAGTTGCTTCTTCCAGGGTGGAGTCTACTTGGTCAACATGCTAAATATCTACGGTCCAGGCTTGGCGATTCTATTCATAGTTTTCGTAGAAGCCGCAGGAGTGTGCTGGTTGTACGGTACCGAAAATTTCGCCAGAGATATTGAAAAAATGATCGGATCTCGTCCTGGCCTATTCTGGAGGATCTGCTGGAAGTATATCAGTCCAGTGTTTTTATTGGTGAGTACCAAGGTAATTGATCAAACATGATTCTAAAATTTGTTGCAGATTATTTTCGTGTGCTCCATATTGAACCACGAAGATATGCTGGGGAAAGAGTACCAGTATCCGCCTTGGAGCTTGAAAGTTGGCTACGTACTGACAGCTTCATCCATTAGCTGCATTCCGTTGTATATTGTGTACAAGTTTGCCATTACACCTGGTAGCTGTTTACAGGTGAGTACTTTTGATTTTGATACATTTAAATCCAACAAGAAGATACATAAAAGATTCAAAGATTGTAAGTGATTGTTTTTTCAGAGATGGCGTATGATCTGGCAACCAGAACATTCGTCAGATAACGCCTTGACTTATTGCGGTGGTACCGAAGTCTGACCAGACTCGAGAGTGGTACGATCGTACACTATCGAATGGTTAGTTTAAATATTTGTAATGATTTTTATTGTATCGAAGTTTATGCCTTCCTTCGATACACTATAAAATTACAACTTTCCTGATTGATATTTGAAATTTATAATGCCTTCATTTCAAATATCAAAATTAGATTTTCTTGTATAAGTATATTAGAGATTTTGTATAGATAGATTCTATTGGATAAAAAATATACAGCCATATATTTTATCCATCTTTTTATAAAATTTACGTGTAAAAAAGCTATTTTAGAAAGCATCGAATGTACTTAAAATGTATAGCAACTCAGCCATATTGCTATATATAGGTATTTTGCTTTTTCAATCAATGTTAGTTCCTAAAAATTATTTTTTACTGTTGTGTGTGTGAATAATCTAGAAATCTATAATTTGATTGTTAGTGCTGTTTGACAAATAATCTAATTGTTTTAAAAAATGTTAAGATGCTCAAAATGTTTATTATAGGATTATTTTCTATTGCCAGCTTTGGGTCTTTTTGACAGCCATAAAAGGGCCTAAGGTTTTATCGTTTATTTATTTTCGTAATAAACCTCTTTGTTTTTAGTATAAAAGGGCGATTTTTATTGTTAATGGGGAATTTGTTTGTTTTTTTTTTATGTATTAATCATTACATTGGAAAAGGATGAAATGATGTACAGGTTGTCCAAGATTCGATGGTTTTGGTGGGTTTCGGGTATTTCTAAAGAAGTTGAAAAAGATTTGACCCTAACTTGCGAGCCTCGATTTTCAAGAAAAAATTGACTGGTGAAAACCGCTTCTCGATATGTCGAGGGGTTTTTGAAAGTTTTGGAGTTTGGCAGGGGGACTATAACTTTTTTATTTATGAAAATTTGGTCAAGTTTTCCCCTTTGTAGCTTAAAAACGAATCGAGATATCGAGATGCGGGTCACACCGGTCAACTTGAAAATTGAGACTCGCAGTGGGGGTAAGATTTTTTCCAAGTCCTCTAGAAATACCCGAAACCCGCCAAAATCATCGAATCTTGGACACCCTGTACATAAGTATGTACAAATAATAATAGTTATTATTACGGTACTAGTACGGTATGCATCAAAACATTCTGCCGTTCAATCTAGCCATATCTCGAAAATCTGACCAATCAAATTCGATGTGGCTCTTTTGAGCGGCATAATGTTATTGCATGGGCTAGATCAGGGGTCAGAATGTTGGGACGGCCTGTTGCACTTGTCCGTTAGAAGTGCCGCATGTTTTGTTTTGTTTATTTTCCGCTAATTGCTCTATTGAAATTTATGCGAAGACATTTTTGGATAAAACTACCCACAACGTTTGTTTATTCTAATGTGAGTGAAAACATTTATCGTTTATCGTGCAAACTTGTTATCCGAAAACGACATAAAAATTTGGATTAAAAATTTATCCCTTCAAATAATAAAAAAAGGAAAACAAAAAATTCGGACTGCAGAGCAAATATAAAAATTCGTATTAAAATAACAACGAAATACACGATATTGACTATATACAGGGTGTCCCTTAAGTGATGGTAAATATTTTGACAGCCGATTTTATATATAAGGTAGAAATCACAAACCAGTCAGAGTGAATTTCATTGGTTGAAACTAGTTTTCTGACTGTTTTCAACCAATAAAATTCGCTCTGACTGGTTTCCGATTTCTGCAGAAACAGACCTATATACATAAAAAAATATTGACATTGTCAAAGTTTCCTAGACCAAAAGTCAGCGGCCATACAAAGATACAGGGTGATAAAGTTGATTTAGTTTTTTTTTTTTAAATTTGGGTTATAAATTTCGCAATTACATGTCTGTCACTCTGTCCTTTTGCTTTTGAATTTTGATTTGAATTTGAAGGTTTTGCTTCTCATTCTACACCTGGTCATCACCTGGTGCAGCTTGGTGTTACCACAGCATATACAAAAACAATCAGCAGGCTAACTTGAGTGACAGCCCGTGTAATAAAGGAATTCATCGTCGAAATGTCACTAGCGGCCATTTTGGGATACGAAACAGGGCCTGATTAACGATAATTTATGGTTTTTTCTTTCCTGACACAGAGTCGTATTGGCTTTAAATAAACTTATTTATTATTACTTACATAGTAACATATAATAATATTTATAATTACTAATTTATTATTATTATTATTAAATATAGGTACAAAAATGATAACAGATAACACCATAAATGACAACACGAATATACTAAAATCACTTTAAAAATCATAACTAAAATTCCGCTCTACGCCGCACGCCTATGACCTCTGTCAGAAATAAATAAATAAAATAAAATTTCGGCGCCCTTGCCGTTTAATGACAGGACGGTATCTCCTAATGGCGGCGTGCGCAGAAAAGATGCGCGTGAGAGTTAGCCTGCTGATTGTTTTTGTATATGCTGTGGTGTTACTTTGCATTTGGTGCAAATGTACAAACATAGCTATTGAATCGAATGTCAATAAAATATTTGCCATTATTCTTGGGACACCCTGTACATACATTATACTTACAGGGTGCTAAAAATGCGAATTATGATGAAATAAAAAACTGTTTATTTCATCATAATTCGCATTTGGGATTTATGAAATTTTAAATACTACATAGGCAGGGATGTTCCGAGAGAATTTGTAAATGTGCACTTGACAGTATAAAAAGTGGCCGGCATATCTGAACACAAAGTGTGCATCCCCACAACCCTGGGCAATAGCGTACCAAGGATGATACACACCTACAGGATTGCTTATCGGTCTATCAGCTGTTTCAACAGCGTACGTCAAGGCGAGAAATAACATGCTGCTACGTCACAACTGATGATTTGGATTGCGGAGGTGAGGGGGGATTTGTTCCACACAGGCTTTATGAGGATAGGCCATCCTATAGTAGTAGTGTGTATCATCCTTGGTGGCGTACAAGTTAGTAGAGTGTACTGAGTGTAGAGTATGGGAGTATGTATACAGTACAGTGTACTTACACTCAGGTACCATTTTTTTGAAATGAAACACCAAATTCAGAATATTTTGTATTCTATTCATTGACTGAAAAATTGTGACACATTTATTCTAGAAATCAAAATGTGCATATCTAGATATTGGGGTGCATACTGTGCATATAAATCGAAAGTGTGCATCAATATGCATAATTGTGGAGTTTGGAGCATCCCTGTACATAGGTACATACGTATGTACAGGGTTTCCCAGCTTAAACGAAGATGTATTTCCGGCCAAGATAAAATAAATCTAAATTTATCAACCTCTTGTATCCAAAATGGATATATTTCCTAATTCCTCTGTTTCAATCAAAAAACTAACAATTTAATCAATATATTCATGAAAAAAATCCATAGGGAACACAAATAAAATCTAAATTTCTGAACTGTATATAACACGTACAAAAGACATAGAGTTTTTAACATCAAACATTGTTAAATTTAATACTAATGCTCGATCGCCTGTAACATTCTGACCCTGAATCTAGCCCATGCAATAACATTCTGACCCTTTAAATAGTTCCAGCTCGTCCCGACATTCTGACCCCTGATGCAGCGCATGTAGTAACATTATGCCTTCCAAAATAGCAAGATCGAATTTGATTGGTCAGGTTTCCGGGCTATGGCTAGATTGGGTGGCAGAATGTTTTGATGCGTACGGTATGGGTATGAGCTTCATTACAGTGACGAGTGGGGAATATTGCCAAGACGAGGTCGTAGACCGAGTCGTGGTAATCACGTTACCGTATACATGTGATATACAACATTTTATGTACGACCCATATTTTTTTTCATGTACCTATTCGAAATGGTGTCGTTTTTCAATAAAAATGAGTTACGTGATGAGCTCATTACATCACTAGTGATTTACTTATATTAGGTCTGTTTCTGCAGAAATCGCAAGCCAGTCAGAATTTCATTGATTGAATTTGAAAACAGTTAGAAAACTAGTTTCAACCAATGAAATTCACTCTGACTGGTTTGTGAGTCCTGCAGAAACAGACCCATTACATCACTGAGTGATGAGAATATCGAGAGTTTTCGCAGGGACCAGTTATTCTAAACCAAAATATTGATTCAACATGCCTCTTTCACAATCATAATATTCACGGTGTTATAAGTGCAGCAGCTCATGTAAACTACGTGAGGATAAAAGCGAATTGTTCGGGTTTCCTTGCGATTCTTGCAAGCAAGTTATCTGCAAGAATTGCTCTGGGCTATCGCCATCCGAAATTCGTTGCCTTCCTATGTCGTCTAGAGTGTTTCTGTTCTGGTGTCCAGACTGTATCGATGATTTAAGGGGCGCGGCAAACTTGAAAAAACGGGTCGACGATTTGGGCTCGGAAACAAAAAAGAAAATCACATCAGAATTTGAAAATCAAGCTAAAGATATTGCTTTTGCCGTCGAAAATTTCGAGAAATTTAAACTTGATGTGAACAAGGATATTGATGAACTAAAGGGTCTTAAATCTCTCGTCTCTGAAGTGGATGGTATGAAAAAGACATATGCTGATATTGCAGGACGAAATACAACTACACCAAGTCAAAATCCTTCCCCTACTCAGTCGTCAAGTTCTGATGATATCCTTAATGAACTACAAGATCAGCAAAAACGCGCAAACAACATTATGATCTTTAACATGACAGCAAATAATGACGATGTTACTGATACTCAAACCTTGTTTGCTCAACCTCTGGTCGCCACAGTTAATATTATTAGCACAACTAGGATTGGTAGGGGCAATAAGAACAACAATAGGCCTCTAAAAGTTGTGCTCTCCTCTTCACTGGAAGCTCAGTCTATTCTACATAACCGACAAAAGTTTGAAGGCAAGGATATATTTTTTGAAGCCGACCTTACTCATCAACAACGTGCTGTTGAAATAAAAGGCCCACGACGAGTTGAGAGAGCGCACATCAAATGGCGAAAATAATCTCACAATTAAATATATCAGAGGTGCTCCTACAGTGATCAAGAAAAAAAACTAGATACTTGCAATTTTCTTTGTTTATACCAGAATGTGTGGGGACTGAATAGTAAAACTCTCAATTTTTATAGTTCGGTTGCAGCTAGCATTATGGACATAATAGCAATCACAGAAACATGGTTAAAACCAGAAGTAGCAAACTCAGAACTGTTTACTGAATTTTACAATGTTTACCGCTTTGACCGCAATTTCAATCAACTTAATGTTTCTAAGGGAGGAGGTGTTTTGGTGGGCGTATCTAATGAATATATGCCTGTCTGTTGACTGTTCCTTTGCCTGACCTGGAAGGCCTTGTCCCTGAAATTGACATTGTATGTTGTAAAATCATTGTAAGCCACTATACTCTTTATGTTTTAGTCTTATATTCCACCATCTGTACACATTAATCATCTCGAATTATTCTTTGACAATTTATCCCTACTCAATATCATACATGAAAGGAATGTACTCATAATGGGTGACTTTAATATACCAGCGTATGTCAGTAATGACCAAAGAGACTCCAAGAATTTATTACTTAAAAATTTTCTAACTTTATCTAACCTCAAGCAGTACAATAATATATTAAACTTAAATAATCGTTTATTAGACCTCGTTATATCAAA